TTCTGTCATTTACACGTTCTTTGTATTTAATGTCACGTGTTATGCAATTCAAACGAAGTTGCATAAAGTTGCACACAACGTTGATAAATGTTAGCAAATGATTATTTGATGACATTCTATGCAAATTTATTACATTATTTGTACTGTTTTATAAATTTTCGCGCATATTGTTATTTCAAAGAATATCGCGCGTATGAAAAGTTAACATTGATTTACTTTTTCGGACTAAAAAACAGCGTTTATTAAAATTTATTTAAAACGCTGCATCTTGTTTACATTCTAAATAACGCGATCCATTAAAATAAATATTCCACAGACAGAATAGACTTTGTCTCTTTACTCAATTATAAGATTAATCTTAAAATCTTAAAGAACACGACAGCTGTTTTTGTCGCTCTCGGTTAACTCGGAAAGGTTTTTTATAATAATTACGTCCGGACAAAAATGTCTCTCACAATGCGAGAAACGTTTCTGCTTGCTTTTTTTATATAAATTATTATTAGAGGTACTATGCTTATCTCTGCGTACTACTGATAACGATAAAAAAAAAACTTAATTGATCAAAGCGACAAAAAAACGGCAGAGACATTACCATCTATTAACAGAATTGATTCAACGCTTTTTCAACTTGTTTCCGTTTCTCTCTCTCTCTCTCTCTCTCTGTTTCTCTCTGAAACGCTTTACCATTTAAACATACCGCAGTAGTTTCCCGAAATAGTTTAACACCGCGAAACCATCTGACTTCTCAATGGCGCTGACGAAGCATAGACACGTCCGTGAATTACGTTTTCCAAAGTTGCGCACGTGCCGCGATTAAACACAAAATGAGAGAAAAGTACTCTTTGAAGGCAGAAAAAAACGTTATACCAGGCGATACGTGAGAACTTCAGGTTGTGTCAGGACGAAAAGAGATTGTGAGAAATTGTTTTCTTTTGGCTCAAAAAATGACACACTGGTGCGACAACGGTTTTGCTGCGTGTACAGAAAAATTTCTTAAATCGATCCGGTGACTTTGAAAGAAGACACGACGAAGAATCTAGACGAAAAAATATTGGGAGGAGAGGGGTTGGGAACTGTTGGATGCTGCTGCGAAGCTCGAGCGACATCACAAAGGAGGAAAGAGAGAAGCCTTGAAAGAACGAACACTTGACGCTCCGGCTGACGTGGCTTTACGTGCCGGTATAATAGCTCTTGTCTTCGCCAAGATAGCAAAGTCGCATTCAAGCTCGAAGCAACTTGCCGGGCGACCGCGATACAATTGCAACATCTACGCGGCAAGTACAGCTGCTTCAACCGTTTGTATATTTGCAGTGTATATCTGTGTCACGGAACGGATTACAAATTTGCCGATGAAATATTTCTCTGCGTATATTCTGCGACCAAGATCCAATTTAGCGTCAAGTAATGTGTTGGTCGATATTGTTTTTCTTTCGGGATTTTATTGTGATCGGGAAAAAAAAAAGCGGATAAATTCTACCGACCGTTGTCGGGTACGTGTGCGCGCAAGACGTTGCGTCATTTCATCGCTCACTCCGCGGGTAATCGCGATGACATATTCCGCGCCGTGGAGTTCTGAATTAAGGTCGAATATTAAGTGCTTTATATGCCCGCTTGTTTGCACCGTCGTCGAACGACGTGACACCCCGTCTAAATTGACGGATATGCCGCGGGCACTTGTTACACAAGTTTCACCGATAAAATGCGCACAATGCACGACGACGACGACGACCTTCGTTACTCTGTTTGCAGGACGGCGAGCGCGGTTCATAACGAGCCCGTTCAATTGAATTGTAATTGAACGTCTGATATCGTCGGAATTGCGCTGTTATTAGCGTCAACAGGTCCGCGATTTCGCTCACAATGTTGGAAGTAAATTCAACTCTCTGTCTCTTTCCCTCCGAGCCGAGTGTGGTATTTACACGGGCGCTCGATCATCTTCCACATTCGCACGTGGAAACGTTAATTGCCACCGGCTGATCGGTGCACTAATGCTACACTCTGCTGCACACGACACGCACACTAAATATTCATTCGCGTCAGTAAATTAACAAATGTGAAACGATTGAATCTCTTGTATATTTTTTTACCGGGTTAATTGACAACTGCAAATACGTTTTTTATTTTTGCAGGAAGTAAAGAGAATGATTTATCTTGTTATTTATTTTTATGTATGTGTGTGTGTGTGTATGTGTGTGTATTTATCTGTAATATTTTTCATGTGTCCACATTTTCCAAAGTGTATCATAATACATTCGCTGCGTCAGTAAATCGCTGTTTCCATTTTTTTAAAATACAGCTCCGAAATTCTTGTGAAAAAAAAAAAAAATGATACAATCGCTGATATTGATATTGCGCTGTCAAATACAGAGAATACTTATGAGAGATTGCCAATTTCTTTGCTCGGGCTCATGTTCGATGAAAATGTAATCTTATGAGATTTGCACTCGTTTCTAATCATTAAATATGTACATACGAATAAGTCAAATATCATTCTTTTAAAAAAAAGAAAAAAACCAGATTTGTATTTCGTTACGTGGCGACGATCAATGGAATTCTCTTTTCTTCTCGTTTTTCTTTCTCACCTGATACTTTGCTATTCGTTCTAGTAACTTCGACAAATATCTAATCGAATCTCTTTGTTTGAGGTTTTCTCATAATGAGATCTTTAACTCGCGCATGAAACCCATCTACTGTTTTTCTATGAAAGAGAGAAGAAAAAGTCAGCAAGAAAATTTTATCTGCGTACGTCTCCATACGTGTTTTTTATACGCGCGTATACTTTGAGAGAACTCTTGTAATTTTTTTCTCGTGACTTTTATTTTAGTTTAAAAAAATTCTCAACATATATATTTTTAAATATGCAGCAAATGCCAGATCATTCCGGCGCGTTGTCGAGCCGACGAAGTCTATTCGTTATTCTTCCGTGGTTTTTATTTTTTTTTTTTTAGTTTGAACAGCCTGTGTGTGTATTTTTAAATATGTACACGAGTAGCAAATGTCAGATTATTTCACACACAGCGTATCGTCGAACCGACGATCTATTCGTTATTCATATCAGTAAGAAACGATTTTTGAATTATGCATGGAAAATATATAAATAATTTTTTTCCTTCGCGCGCTCGTGGTAAAATTATCTGATGTACGAACTTTCGTATAATGAATTTTGAAAACCACAGAAAAAGTAGATTTTATTCAAAGAAATTCAGCAAATAGTAACCGCTTCTGCATACGCACTACGTCATCTTCACATGTCTCTGCATTACGTGTGAGATGAATGGAGAGACTTGAGTTTTGTAATATTTTTGAAAGAGAGAAAGAAAAAGAAAGGTGTGAATTCGGTGATATCGTCCATTATTCAACGAGCTGACCTATCCTGTCAAAATAGCGAACTTCTTCGTCCACTTAATTTGCATGTTTCGGGACGTATTTGTCAGTAAGATTGATAATGGTACTTCTTTCTGGATAAATCTTTTTTTAACCTTAAGTGCGAACGTACTTCACAAAAGATCATTTTTCATCGTATCTCATTGGCGATTAGTTTTGTAAAATCAATCAATTTAATTGTTCCACGTACAAATACATTAGAACTGCCACAAATATCAGGCAACTATTCGATATTCTGCCTCTATTCGACAACGTTTTTTATTATTCATGAATACTAAATATATAATATTAATTCACTTTTAGACGAATATCGAGTAGTTTTAAATGTTAAAATGACAGAAAATTTAGAAATCAGTAGCTAACAGATAGCTGCTTCAGTCACGTAGCTTTTAACATTCTCAAATAACATTCTCTAATTTATTTATTTAAGTATTGAAAAAAAGTTATATATCTAATTTATTTATTCACATAATTTACTTATTTATAATTTATTTATATATCTAATTAAAATTAAAATTAAACTTAAAATTAAATAAAACACATTTATTGTCACATCATGTGTGTATTTATTTATTTATAGTACACTGTAGGAATTTTAAACAAAAAACCAAGTTTAATGATTAAACTCTATTTAATTAATATATTTAATTAATATATTTAATTTTACATATTAAATTAACATATTTATATATATAATTAATATATTTAATTTAACATATATATTATACATAAAGTTTTAGACAATAACTGCTTAATTATGTTTTAAACTTGTTAAATGATTAAATTAGTATCAAACCTTTAAAACAATTTGATGGACGTATTTGAAATTCAAACAGTTTATAGATAATATACCCGTCGAAACTAATATTTGCCTAATATTTGCCGAATATTTGTTGCACTTCTAGAATACATATATTATTGCTCGAAGTACTATAAAAAAGATGTAATAATTAATCTTATTCTTGCCTCAGACGTTAATGCACATTAATGTTCGAGCAATTCTTGAAAATGAGAAAATCTTTTTAACTATTTAGTAAAAGAATTTCTAAAAAAATAAAAAGAAAAAACTAATGTTATATTTCTTTAATGTAAAATGTTGAAAAAAGCCTCATGAATTTTTACAGAAGTTTTGCAACGTTTTAACTAATAAAAAATTCGCATCAGACATAAATGTTCAGAGTTTACAAGATATGTATAAAAAACGTTTATAGGAATATAGAGATGATTAATCTTAAACAGAAATATCAGACCATACATAGATATTTATATGCATTCCGACATTCTGAAAATCGCAACACAGCATTTCAATTTCGCAGACTTACTGTTCAAAAACTATGCATCATTACTGTTGCCAAGTTAGTTTTGCTAATTACGTTCTAATTTAAAGAATATAAAAGTGACAACATTGATGTGAAACTTGCTACAGAAGTATAATATTCCGAAAAAATTCGCAACGCAGCATTTTGTCGACGTCGCGAGCTCGTCCGTCCAAAAACTACTTACGTAGCCAGACTGTTGCCAAGTCACCTTCGCTAATTATGTTCCAATTTGAAGAATATAAAAGTAACAACCGTTATAAAACTTGCGACAGTGTAAAATCTGCTGCAGTCACCGCACATACAATTATTCCCGCGCGTGATATTTTCATAATTATTCACTTCATTAAATAAGTAAACATCTGTTGCAGTTTATTAATTATTACACATAGTATTACGTATCTATTGCACGTGTTACACATTTATTAACAGTAAATTGAAATTTTGTGTCAATTTAATTCTCCACAAGGTGAGTGCACACAATCGACAAAATAATAAATAATTAAATAAAAGCAATACGATATATTAGAATAAAGTCGTTTCTGTTTTTGTTGTTATAGAAAATTATTTTTACGCATTTGTATATTCTATATTGTATATTTATTGTACAAAGTGTATTCTGTGTTATTAGACTAACTGCATCTATAATTTGTTTAACTGTATAAGTTTAATATAGTTAAAAACTTTTCTTTAGTTTTCTAAACCTTTTTTTCATTTATTTGTATATATATTTTTTTTATAAAAAACCAGCAAACTGTTACATTTAAAAACTGTGCTTCCATCTTTCTACAATTTTGAAAATCACATTTATACTGTCTATGTTTTTATGTTCCTACTAGTAGTAAGTCGTACTATCAGTCGTACTTTTCGTAGTATCAGTTACCTACGTCTGATCAGACAGTGATCCAGTTCGCCATACTGTGCTAAAGTAAAGATATAGATTATTGGTTTTTAATATTTTTAACGTTCATTGCGATTTCGCAGTATAGTATATATATTGAACTCTATGACAGTACTGACATTTTCAAACATATATAAAAAAACTATCTTATAATTATTATCGAACTTCATCAAAGTACTGACGTTTCCAAACAAATGAAACATTATAAAACTATCTTATTTGTGTCCTATTGTTTAGACAGAATATATTATATATTTTTCATAAAATAATTTCTGCACAGAAATAAACTTCATATAACAATCGTAACAAAAAATACAAATAAAATTATAAGTACGCAATAATTCTTTTAATGCAGGAAAAAGGGCCAATACAAGTCGAAACACTGAATGTTCGTGTTTGAATAAGTTTATTTAAATAATTGAGTCGATCCAATTTTCGGATCTTTTTCAGTGACGATCTAAATGTAGTTACAAATAAATGTACGAAATTTAATTATCCCTTCGCAAAGTTAACAAAAGTTTTTGATTATAATTGTGATAATTTCTTTAATTATTGTATTTTACTTAGCAATATATATATATATATATATTACGAGATACAAACAACATCTTAATGTTTAAAATGTTGGAAAGCTTTCGGTCATCGCATTTCATATTTTCTCATAGGCTCGTTTATATATCAAGGATTGAGTTTCTCTCTGCGTCCCATCATCCCTGATCTCCTGCACGTACACGATTCCCTTTGCGATGCACCACCGCGCACAGCAACAATATCAGTGTAATGCAAACTCACATTTTAGCGACCGACTTAACCACCGGAGTTCGCGCAAGCGTGTACCTCATCGTCGAGAACATGGGAGGCTCGGGGCACGGTAAAGTTCTAGAAAATCAATACGGCAATGTCCGCCGGTAACTAGACAGTTGGAGCTCATCCTTTGCAAGGAACGCGTCGGAGCTTAACGCGCACGCTCAAGTCGGCAACGTTGGTCAGAACAGTCCATTGCACTCGAGTCTTCATCGTCTACGTCATCATCTTTCTCGTCGAGGCTACCGACTCCGGTTCATTTTCCTTCTCTCTCAACTTCACGAAGTTAAGGGCGCTGAAAGGAGGTGGTGGTCGTATCGTCGCACTTGAAGAAAAGAACGTGCCAGCAGCTCATCTCGGGTAACTGACCTTGTGCAACAGTGCGCGAGCTCTCTCTCTCTATCAGCTCTAAAACAACGAAGCCCTAGATCGTCGCAGCAACTTCGGCATTTGCAAGAGTCTTGCGCGAATCAGCTATCTCCACAAGAAGAGCATCGCGCGATCTACGCACTTCCGAACTAGAGATATCTTTGAGTGTACGTTCGAGTCGTTTTGGACTCAACGTACGTAAAGATATTATTACATAAGCCGACACAAGACACGACGGGAGGAGATTAGACGGCGCCCCCGCGAGCTCTCGACGAAGCCGTGTTTTATTTATTAAACGTCACCGAGAAGATAGTCCAATCCTATCCCGCTACTACAATCGAGTTGGTGGGCATTCGTGGCCAGGCCGTCAGGCTACTGCGACGTCTGGTAGGCGCGAGTGATTGGTCCTTCCGCACGGATTTACCGAAACATCCCCAAAACGGCAACCCGTCGTCGTCGTGGTGCTACCGGGGCCCCGCCGTTAGCCGCGAGAGATCGCGAGAAGGGAGCTTGGGAGGATCGGCGAGAGGATCGGACTGTTCGCACGCGACCGGCACCGGTCTGCTCTGCTACGCCGCTTGCTGGCGGCCCAGTGAGATGGAGGAGAAGTCCTCTGCCCGATTCTCCGAATATCTGTTCGCCAAAATGGGTGGGCAGGACGTCTCGGCCTCTCAGGGTCCCCGCAAGGTGACCGCCGACACTAGAAAGTGGATGCGAGAGAACCTGCTGCTCATGGTTACTCTGTCCGGTGTACTCTTCGGCATTATTCTCGGTTAGTTTTCAGAAACTAAATTTCGAACCACAGAGAATTTAAGAAACTATATACGCATTACTTTTTGGTTTTTTATTTTTCTCTTTACTTTTTCAAGAAATCATGCAATTTTATTTTTCAAAAATTCTGAAATGCTTAGTAACGGAAATTATCACTTAAAATTATTCTAAACAGTTTATTATTTTTCTCACACGTACAAGGGGAAAAAAAAAGTTTTGCCATTATATTACCAGCAAGAAAAATTTGTTGACTCTACTGAATTTTTTTTATCAATAAAAAGTCTTGTTGGCAAAATCTCACTAGACTTAGCAAATTTTTCTCGCTGGCCATGTATAGTATCGTATAACTAATTTCTTGCTGCAATAGCAAATTGTTTTTTTTTTTTTTCGTGTGATCGCAGTCTGAAGACACGAGAAAATATTACTCAGAGAAAAGATAATGGCTCATGCGCACGATAGAAATTTTATGCCTCGCATGATTCACGTGTATCGTTTCGATCTACTGTCATCGTCTTGTACGTCAACTATAAATGATATAAACCCGTCATTTGTGCTAATCTCGATGGCGGTTACTTTATTACACATGGGCCATTTTTCAATTTTTCCAGAGTAAACTAATCTTTTATTATGTAGATTTTGATCTACTTTAGTAAAAAAAATCCTTTTTTTTTTATCACGTGAGTGATTGATTGCTTTTTCCATGCGACTTCGCGTTGGCTTGGAACTCGCAAAGATCTTTACGAATGATAAGTATGTACGAATGCAATTTGACAAATGATTTACTACGTAAATTGCTTTGCAATAGTGCAATGCATAAATTTTTTAATTTTTCAATAATAGAAAGTAACAAAAATAATTGTAACGTCACACACATGTGTAAAACTTATATTATGAGGAACATTAGCTCTATGCGTCTTATAATATGTGACGTATTGCGAACTTTTAGATCGATTTATATGTTCGCAAACGACCCAGTTCGAAATTCTCTCTTTCTCTTCAGTTACGTAAAAACATGAAACATTATCTCGTTAAAAGGTGTTGATTATATCGACGAAAGGTTTCCTAGAAAAAATTTCATTAAATTTAATTTTTATACCTTGCAGACAATTTACATAAACGCTTCAAAACGATCGGATGTTTGCATTTGCAACAAAATAAATATTTCACGTATTTTTTCACGCGCTGCGGTTTTTAATGAAAAAAACCTCTATCTGTTTACAAAGTAAACGAAAGTTTTATAAACCGTGTTATTAAAGAAAAAAAGTCTGGCCTATATAACAAAAAAAAATAGAGAGTTGGTTTTTGATAAATGAAATATTTTTTTGAAGAAGAAGAGTGTGCGCGTAACACATTCGTGTTACGTCGCATTTATATTTTCATTTATGGTCGAACGTTAATAACTGGCAGAAACACGTTTAATTAAGTAAAAGCAAATCCTGTTATTTTATGTTGTATAACAGCGGAAATGATGAAATTCACATTGCATTTATGTGGTGATTTAATGCAATTTGAATTGCTAACTGAACACAAACACTGATTATTTATTTATTTATTTATTTATTTATACAAAAGTCGGTTTTACACTTAATTTATTAGATTCGTACGTTTGATGCAATTAAGAGACTTGTGTAGAAACATCTTTGACCATTGGAAAATGTATTAATAGAACGATCAATGTTCAAGTAGGTGTTACATCTGCGCGAAATCGTATGACGCACTCAAATATTTTTATCACAAATAGAAAAGTTAATGGAATTGTGACTATTCACACTTTACCCAATACGTCATCAAGCAGGTCGTATATAATTTTAGAGTGTTAACGTAAAATATTCAACACTTTACTGAAAATCAGCTCATTGTCAAAATCTTCAAACGCTAATGAAACGAACAATTCGCTCGCGTGACTGCTTGTCACAATTAATTTGAAGTTATGTGCATGTCCGTTTGACTAAATCACGTAACGGGACGACTCGCAACTAATCTCTGACGCAATAGAAAAGAATTGATTAAACCTTCACCTTCTCATCAACCCGTACGGTCTTTCTTCGCGATCAGATAATAAGCCAGTTACCTGTATCTAAGTTTAAATATAGTCGAAGGACAGCGCCTTTTTTCCGTGAGAATCTCTCAAGTGCATTATATATGCAAATGGAAAAGTGTCACCGGAACATTGAATTAATCCGGCAAATGTCTCTCTTTCTCTCTTCTCAGGATTCGGTTTGCGACCATTGGATCTTGGAGACGACGCAGTAATGCTAATTAGCTATCCAGGAGAGCTCTTTATGAGATTGCTAAAGCTAATGATTTTACCTCTGGTGATCGCCAGCCTAATATCGGGTGAGCTTTTCTCCGTTATTGCACACATATGTATGTGTGTATGTGTGCAAAAGACAAAACGGCCAGTTTTTCATTTCGGTTTTTTACCGTTTTTTTTTTTTCCGCAGGTTCGGCGAGTTTGAACGCCAGGATGAATGGAATGATCGCCGTTCGCACTCTGGTGTACTTTATACTCACGTCTTTGCTGAACGCTGTCCTTGGTGTAGTCCTGGTGCTCGTTATTCATCCCGGTAATCCTGGCATCAGAGAATCGATCGCGCCCTCGCATCACGCGAGAGCCGTCAACATTCTTGACAGCCTGCTCGATCTGGGAAGGTAAATTGTGTCCAGCGATATCTCATCGCCCGATATCGATTCTGTCAATATCAATAATGTATGTGTGGGTTAGACTCGCTCGGAAGTTTTCCTGAACAAAAAAAAAAAAAAAAAAAAAAAACCCGGAGAAGCGATCGAGTGCGAAGGTTGATCGCAAAATGCGATAAGAACACAATGCTAATGAAGACGCTCAATTCCGATCGATTTGCTCTCAAATTTGTGTTTGCACATCTTTCAGGGAAATTGTATTTATCGATCACATTTTGCAAAAGCAGACGGTCTCAAACAAATGTGGGTCACAATTTTTCAATTGCAAAAGTTTTCGCAACACGAAGCTTTTTTGCCGCGACGCGCGACATTGAAACAAAAATCGATTTGTGATATTCCTTTTTGCCGACGTGAATCATTTGTAATAGCGTAGTTATCTGAGACGGATTAAGGTCAAAGCGTTTCGCGAACTGTGAAATCCGCCAAGCCAAATTTATCGCGATCGCAGATATTATTCGTTGAACCAAAAATAGAAGTTCATCGATTTGTTTGTATTTCATTCGTAAGAAGCGTGTTTAAATCTTGTCTAACAGAATGTCGGGACAATTTTGACGAAACCGAAGACAGATCGGATCGATCTGAGCCGAAAAGTTTTGTATAGTTTTGCAAAATTCGCATCATCATTCGCTTCCCACGCGCTCATTAGCTCGCATTAATTAATTACTAATTAACGTTGCAAAGTTTGTAAAATGACAAATGACTTTTCGGTTCAGATTGATCCAATTGATCCAATTGATCCAAATCTACATTCGCACTTCGGTATCAAGATTTTTTCAGACACCCTGTATATATTCAAAGTATATAAATCTTCCGATATCAGATGAAACTCTAAACAGGCTCAAGACTTTTAAAAGAAAGCTTGAGACTCTTTATCGAAACTTTATATTTGAGAAACTATCCTCGCTTCAATGACGCGTACTAAGATGGCTCAAGATCAATCTTATGCTGGTAAGTTGCCATAGTTCGCGATGTGGAGAGCAATCGATACGGAAAAGCTAAGAATAAAACGAAGGACATGGAAAATTATTTTTACAATATCTGTGCTTCTTCTTCTACGTCGCGAGAGAAGACACACCTACTTTGTTTGATGAGCTCGCTACTGTCTGAAACTACGTGCGTGGACTCACGAATTTCACGTTATTTTGCAGGAACATGTTTCCCGACAATTTGTTTCAAGCAGCTTTCCAACAGGTAAGGATTGTTATCTTCCAATTGTATACAAATAAAAATTGTATACAAATAAAAATGTTTTTAAACTTATGTTGTTTAAATGAATGTTTTTTTAAAATGAATTTCCTTGTTGTCTCTCACAGGCGCACACGGTGTACGTTCCGAAGAAACAACAGTTTCACAACAACACCGATCAGTTGCCAACGGAAGTTCTGGGAGACGAGGAATTGATAAGAGTGATACAGTACAGAAGTGGTACGAACACTCTGGGCATAGTTTTCTTCTGTCTGGTCTTCGGTACGTTTCTGGGAACACTCGGCGAGAAGGGTCAAGTCGTCATAGACTTCTTCAAGGCTGTATTCGAGGTCATCATGCGAATGGTATCAGCGGTTATGTGGTGAGTCTTGACAGTTAAGAACAACTATACCGCAACTTATTGCAAACAACAATATTTATATTTAAAAAAATATATTGTATTTATGTTAAAACTACTTTGCCTTTTCCAGGATGACACCGGTTGGCATCACCTCTGTGATAGCAGGCAAGATACTCGGCGTGGACGATCTGATGCTGGTGATGTCGCAGTTGGCTTGGTTCATCATCACGATCGCGATCGGTGTCTTTCTGTATCAGCTGGTGATCATGCAACTGATATATACGGCCTTCGTTAGGAAGAACCCCTTTAAATTCTACGCCGGCCTGGCCCAGGGCACCCTCACCGCCTTCGCCATGGCATCAACGTGAGTCGTCGATCTTCAAACCCGAGCCCGACCTTGAGAGAATTCCATTTCGCCTGCCTCACAGGGTTTCGGTCAACGTTGTGATCGTACTTTCTGACCTCGTGGCCTCCGTTTTCCTCGTCATTCGCCTCCCGCAGACAATCCGCATATCTTATGCATATCTCCTTTATTCCCACTTCCGGTCTTAGAAACTTTTCTCTTTTGCGCGAAATGGGAGCCGGTCCGTCGCGCGATTAAATGGTGCAAATAGTTGATTCCAAAACTCTCGTCGTAGAACGAAATAGACAATGAGTGATGAAACGTGAAAACAATGAAAAGACGTACATACCGATCGATTGAAAGACATTATGTTTCAACCAGCTGTGTGGAGGCTTTGAGAGGCCACGATTCTGACATCCTTTCCCGTTCCAGCCAGCTTTGCATAACTTTCGACTTTTGTAATGTATTTCTTGCTTTTTGCTTTTTTCTTTAAAAAAAAAAAAAAAAAAAAAAAAAACTATTTTGTCGAAGCTGGCAAATTTCCAATTATCCTTAATCCTTCTCTCACATATGACAATCTCTTTTAATGTTTGCTTGCGAGGAGAGCTCGCCATGCCACATGAGAAAGAGAAAAAGAGGGAAAGAGGTATGCAGTTCCGGGTAGCACTTAGAATGCTGATACTTCCGGTTTCTTCATTCGTTCGACACGAAATCCCGGAAGCTAATTACCACAGTTCTTCGTGGTAACGAGAACGGAATTTCGTGAATGACATTACTCGTAATACAGATGACACGTAAATTGTAAAAAAAGAAAAGAATTTGTGTTTCATCATTCGCGCGTGCGAGCAGGATTTTGCAAAAAAAACCGGCGTTCCGCTGACTCCGTGTTACCTGGACTGATTCGCGGCGTGGGAGTCTGCTAGGGACGCAAACGGTATCTTCGAACTTTTCTCTCGCGACTCGCGAGAAAGAGGAAGAAGAAACCGCCAGAGGAGGCTTTCACGTCAAATAAGAAAAATTTTAATTAAATTTAAGTACACACATCGTTGTTCAAAAAAACGAGAGATCTAGAACTGAAAGAATATTGGTTGCTTGTGTTGAACTCGCTCTTGCAGGTACACGACGTCGATGACCGGCTCTACTGCTGAACAACTACGTGCTTATCTCATTTGTATCTATCTATCTATCTATCTCTCTTTTGATAATAATTGTTGATGATTTTTCGAGAGTCGCACGAAGCAACGATAATTTTTTCAGTTCGCAACGATAACGAGTTCGCCCTCTCCCATCCTTTCTTTCGTTCTCAATCCCCAAGACAGGTTTTAAAAGCAATCAAATATATAAATTTCCACACTCACTTCTCAGTCTTCCGCCATTCCCATCTTCTTTGTTGCTTCTTCCCCCGTTGTTTATGGTTTTTTTTTTCCAGTGCTACTCTATACGATCCAGCTAGGTTTTTATACAGTTTTTATCTAACTCAATCTGTTTTCTCTGTGGATTAACTGTTTCCAGAAGAGAGCGTACACAACTGTGCGTACACACACTGTGACTGACTGAGATATACTGTTCTCAGTGTAACTGAACAGAGAACTGTATGAATATCATGATGATGTATTAGAACACGCACTGCACGCGGCCTTTTGCAGGTGGTTTTGAACACTTTGAGAGAGAGACCAAAAAAAAGGTAGCGCTTGGTAAGTAATTGATGGCCGCAACATAAAGGTTACCTATTTTGTCTGTTGTAGCGTTTCGAAACAAGAGATCCTAAAAACCGCCGTGGCCCGGCGAATCTTCTTCCTTTGGATGGGACGGACTGCGAATCTCCGAAACTAATCTAGCTTGATTTTCAGATTGTATTTACACACACACACACGGTCATTCTGGCTGTTGCTCTCTCTGGCACGTATTATCTCTTTCTGTCTCTCGAACTATATGTTGTAGCAGAGATAATTTTTCACAATTATGTATCGACATTTGCGTATTGAATCTCACACACAGTTTTTTTCTTTGTTCGTTTGCGCGCGTGTGTTTCTCTTTCTCTCTCTCTCCGCCCTTGCGTCTTTTCAATTCGGTCACTTCGATCTATCGGTCACTCGTCTGAGATACTGCTGTCATGTATAAAAAAAAAAAACAAAAAAAAAACTCACATATGTCTCATGTATAAATCCCGCAAGTTTATGCCAGAATGACCACCTATCGCGGCGACAGGCGACGTGGAGTGACAAATCTTTCTACTATTCTAAACGAAAGTAGCTCTGCCCGATTTTTGCTAACGCAGCTTTGTACAGGGCTGCCGCGCTTCCCGTGACTTTTCGTCTGATGACCGAGAAGCTCAGAGTCGACCCTAGGGTCACCAGATTCGTCCTGCCGATCGGTTGCAATATTAACATGGACGGTACCGCGCTCTTCGTCGCCGTGGCCAGCATTTTTATCGCCCAGATGAACGGCATTTTCCTGGGCTTCGGCGAGATTATCACTGTTATGTGAGTAACTCTTGAGAATTTAATTGAGCTCGCACACGTTTACAAGTTTCGTTGTTTCATTGTATTCATTACGTCATTCCGCGATGACAGTCTGACATCCACCGCTGCTTCCGTATCATCGGCTTCGGTCCCAAGCGCCGCGCTCGTTCTGCTGCTGGTCGTTCTAAGCGCCATCGATGCTCCCGTTAATGACGTTTCTCTGTTGTTCGCAATCGACTGGTTCGTGTAAGTATATTATTTTTCACGCATTCATCATGTTTTTAATTGACTGACGAATCGAGCGTTTTAAAAAAAAGAAATTTCGATAGTGCGAAACTTTGTCAGCTGAAAAACAATTACAAAGTGTTTTTTGTAAAAATATAATAATTAACACGGACGTTACTTTCAATCAATTAGAGATCGAATTAGAACCACCAACAACATGCTCGGAGATTGTTACGCAGCTGCAGTGGTCGAACAATTGTCGAAGAAGGAATTGATGGCATTGGACGCGGCAGCTTATCAAGTAAGATGCACCGAGTGTTTAATAATTCAAGTACGTTCGCGATTGTTGAAGCAGATGCGCGTTTGTTTTTGACACTTCTTTTTTTTTTTTTTTTCACAAACAATCTCGCCAATTTTTTTTGATTTCAGTCGGAAACAGTGCTGCCAACCACTATTGCCAACGGATGTCTTTCCGCCAACAGGGTACCTGATCCTGACACCGTCGTCGTCGAGATGCAGGACGACACACGGATAGCAGGGATCGCCAAGTAAACACGCTTGTTGGTAGGGCTAGGCTATCACTTTGTACGATCATAGTAGATCAATCTGTTTCATTTAGTCGCATCATCTATCGAATCGCTACTTGTAGATACAGAAGCAAAGTGTGACAGACTTGACGGAAAAGAAATCACAAGTGTTAGAAGTAAAAACTCTTAGCGGAGCGATATTGTTAAACTTTTAATTAATAATCTTCAATTAAATCTTTTCAATCAATAATATATATAAAATTATTTTATTGCAAAAGTAATTCTAAAAAATTGACACTTATGGTTTTTCCTGACGTCAAGTCACGAATTGAGCGGAACAGTCGCACTGAATATCTTTCCTTTTTCGTTTCAGCTTCGGAGTTCTGCACATGTCAAGAAGTGTGACGGAAGAAACAGTTTGACTAGTGTTTAGCCTCGCAGAATAACTTAGTATTGTAGAATGAAGAAAAACAAAAAAAAAAAAAACGCCCACTCTGCCACGGAACTATTTAAACAGATATAATAACAGCCTATATTCAACGAGGATCAAAAAAGGGTACACGAGTTGCGCCAAAGGCGTGTTTTAGTTCCTGTGCTTCTCTTCGTTCCAATGATCGGAGTTTAAACAAATGAGATCTTCCGTAAGAAGTTCTGATCAAGTTAAAAGATAAACTCTCGCATAATGATTGTCTCAAAATGCGACACAAAAGAAATTCAAAGTCAATAACGATGAGGGGACACATTAACACATGTGAGACGCAGGCATAGCAATAAGAATTGATATATACGTAATTCAAAAAGCTTGCAAAAGCTCGAGGAAAGCGCGTTTCGTCAGTCGCCACGACGGTGTAATAACTACGCTCGACGTTGTACTCCAAGTATATATATATGAGAAATCAGGAACACATAAAGTCGTCCAACGACCGTAACGGATTTGACTGGATTAAACAAAAGAAAAAAAAAAGAGACTAATCTAATCGACTGATTCGTGTAACAATAAAAGATAAGCGATCATAGAGGAAGATCCACAACTCTCTCTCTCGAAGAGATCACCAATTCGATTGCACTTTCTCACAGAAAAATTAGAGTTTATTTTTTACGATTGATAAAAAAAAAACAAAAACAGCGTCGAATGTAGTGCCTTATTTCGAATCGACAAGCAAGTAATCACACAATGAAAGTACATAAAGAAACCAAGTTAAGTTATCAAGTCCTGAATTGGGATACAAAAAAAAAAGAACTCTGTCTTAGTATAAGCGATTTTTGTCGTTTCTTGATGTGTCTCTTTGAACGTTCCAGGAAAAAAAAAAAAAAACAAAAAACCGAGAAACACGCGCGATTGTCTCGAGTGACATTGACGAATGCAGTTTCTATTGGGGGTTTTAAGAGGGATTTTTTTACGACGGTCGGGGAAGCTTGATGTGATAATTGTTAGGTGGCTACATACGTATTTACAGACACACACATATACACACATATCTAGGATAAAACACAGATACACATTTAATTTATCTTTAGTGTAATACGACTTAAGCAGCATTCTGAAGACTACTCGCTTGGCATTTCATTTCGAATCGGTGAAAGAAAAAACGGGAGAAAATCCGAGGAAAAAAAATTAACGGGAATCGATACATATTGACCCCTAAAGTAATACCGCAAAAGAAAGAAGACTTACAAGCGAGTATAGACCTTTAAATAGATTGTAAAAGTCATATCGAGTTAAGCATCGGACCACATATTAACTGACAGAAACTGATGCATAAAATCCTCTTACGTGTTCTGCTTTTAAAAGAACGGATGCTTTCGCGAAAGAGTGTTTACATAAAGAGATAAGAGATTTAAAAAAAAAAAAAAAAAAGTTTTTAACACGCATCAGCGAAAATGAAAAAAAAAAGATTATCTGAGATCTTTACGAAACAACTTGCATTCTTTTCACACGATTCTGTCTCTTTGCGCTCTTTTTCGACAGCACTCCCTCCCTAATGTCGTAGACTTAGACCTTCCAGTATACTGTTGTCCACTCAATAGCTTAGAGTAAACCGAAAATTCGTGTTTTACGAATTAAAAAGACAAAAAAAAAAAAACAAACAAAAAAAAAGATAAAAAAAAAAGAACGAATTACGTTTCGCTCGAACGTCAAAAGCCATGCTTATATATACGACATATAAATAACAAAGAGAATGAGAAAAATTAAATAGCGCAGCTCTTAGTCGAGCGGCAACAAGACTGGATACATCATATATTATAGTGTATTACCGTTTTTGCTAAACATATAGTAAACTAAACGATTCCACTACGGTTTCGCTGAATTCTAGGCACTAGATAGGTAGGTCGATACGTGTTTCATCGTAGAGACTGTTTAAATGTACAAATTATTCGGGATAGTATTGTTATAATAATTGTTTTGTTTTTTCTTAGCAATTGTGAATGTCTCCATCCATATAAATTGCGAAAGCATTAGTTTCTTCTTGTTCATTGAAAGGGTTTTAGAATAAGTGATGTATATATTATATATGTATATGTATATATGTGCAGTTTTTATGAGGAGAACAAAATTATAGGTGGTTTTTTATTTTTTGGTTTTTCCAATTGTTTTTGAAACAACTTGCCATTTTTTCAAGTGATATCGCCAGGTGCTCCTATTGCTCAGCACGTTTTACACTCAAGCAAAACAAAAAAAAAAAAAAAAAAACAAGAAGAAATAGGAGAATATACCAATATATATGTATTAGTCGTGAGAGTAAAACGAGCGGGGAAAGCAAGGGATTAACTTATCAAAATAATCCGAAGAGAATACATGTTAATATACTTATAAGGCTCAACGTGATGTATAAGAAGCAGATTTATACGTGGAAACTCTGTTGTCTCTTTTATTTCTGATCCTTCGCCCTTTTATAAATTTTATTATGTGTATGTGTTTCAGACTGCCTCGCGGGATTTTGAAATTTTAGTATCTGAACAAAAAGAGAGAGAGAGAGAGAGAGAAGTTGAGTCAGAAGATTAAAAACAAAAACTACAATCTCCTAAAAAATTCATTTATTTAAGGCCCACGTCACCGAAGGCCTCGGCTGGAAAGTCTTTGTACAGAGAGCGATTTTTATACAAAATATGACATATTTATATATATAATTTTTTTTTCAGTTGCGCGTATATGTAAATCTGGCTGAGATTTCGGCTTCTCCTTCCCCGTTACATCGAGATCGCACTCGGGAAAGGAGTCAAGGACGCAGTAACAATTAATCAACGAAGGAGCGTTTTCTTTTTTTCTTTTTTAAATTGCAACCACCACGAAATCCGGTGTGATCAGTTCGCTCGTGGTGGCGCGTTTTATTTCTCGAATGATATCGCCATGTTCGTCGTAGTATATATATATATATATATATTGTATATTTGACATTTATAAAATTAATTATCGTACTGTACACAATTCACACGCGGCTCGATGAACACGGCGCGATCATCCGAAATTTATATAAGGACAGTCTATCTTTTTGATTATGACAACATCGTTATTCTCGTGAATTGTTATTTACAATGCTACTTAATGACTAAGGCGCTGTCGCGAATATTTACAATACATTTCCGCTCGGGAAGAAACACTTCCCGTCAGCGATCGATCGTGATGCGCACGAGGAACGCCATCCGTATTGCAAAACAGAGATTTGTCGACGTGCAATCGCCGCTTTCCCGCGCTCTTTGTCTCACACTTAAGTGTATAATATTTCACTCTTTTCATTCTCCTCGTGACAAGATTAAACTTGTCTCTGTAAATTCCCCTTTGTCAGTTAATCACAAATAACAATTAAGCGCGGGAAGGTAGCGACGGCACACGACAAAAGAAATTGATTCGTTTCTTCTAACAGTCGGTCAAATTAAAATTTCTAAATTAAAATCATTTGTTAATTATCGCATGTTCTCGAATCGCGTCACTCACACAGTCTGAGAGAGCTGCTAACATCACTCGTGTGTTACAACAACAACGCGTTTATAAACAGAAATATCATTTAATTTGCTTTACACGAGGCATTTTGCATTGTCTCACCGATATCGCTCTTCCGGCGAGTCATTTTACTGAATTAACACTTAAAAAAAAAACTTGTACACGAAATACGCCGGATTTTACTCAATCGGAGTGTGATATTCAAATCCTGAGCTCAGCGTCGGTGACGGGAATTCCTCGATTGGCACTTTGATTGGATCTTTGAGTGGTGGGTGGAACGAGAGGACTGATGCTGGGGCTTCTCGTGGCCAGAGGTGATAACGAAGGTGAGAAACTGGGACTCAGTGCGGCAGAGGGAAAAGTGGAGGCGTCATGGCTGATCGGCGACCTCGGCAAAATTCCCCTTGCTAATGCTGGCGCAGCCAACGACCTCGGAGCGACGGAAGTGAGCAACGGCGGCGGCGGCGCTTTATGTACAGACTTGGTCTTGCCGCTGCTACCGGAATTTCCGCTCTGAACGCTAGCAGCGTCGTCCTTCAGCCTGGCGATCTCACTGAACACGTGCGCTAGCGGTTGATACTGAGGTCCCCAATCCAACAGATAGTCCCAATTGTACGAACCGGTAAGCTCTTCTTCGCTGTGCACGATGGAACTCAGGGAACCGTTCATCGACGGTCCGCCTGGCATTTCTAGGCCGGAAGTGGGTCGTCCGGATTCTCCGATCTTGCCGTAGATTAACGTCGCTATGTCCGCTTCAGTACTAGCCTCGTCTTCGAACAGGTGCAAACTATCCAGAGGAAGAGCCTCGGGAGGTCTTCTAGGCGTTCCAGCTGGAGGATCCACGATGCCTAATCTAGCTAAGTATTCCTGAGTATTATGAACTGAAAGGTCACTCGCGGAATCGCCGGTCTGTTGGCCCTCGTTGATCATTCTGATCTCCTCATCTTCCCCGTCATCCTCAGCGGAGCCTCTGCCGGAAGAACCGGACTGATCGCTTCCGGATAGCTCGGAGGTAGCCTGTTGTTGCCCGGATTGACCGGACGTTCCGTAGGGAGGTATCTCGTCGTACTTCGGAGGTGCGAATTGGCAAGACGCGCCGCCGCCCCCGCCTCCAGCGCTTCCGGAACTACCGTTTCCGCTCGCGCTTACTCCGGCCACACTTCTGATCGGAATTGTATCAAACGCGCTCGGATCTACGTAGCTGTTGGACGCGGTAGCGTTGCTCTCTCCGTTCAATCCCGGTTTCGTGCCGGGCTTTTTGTGACGGCGATTACGAATGTGGAGATAAAGGAAGAGAGCACCAAACGCAAGAATCAGAAGAAAAAGAGCGATTAGCAGACCCACAACCCAATCAGCTAAACCTCCGGTAGGAGCCACAGCCATATTCGAGCCAACGTCCGTCGGTGTCGCCAGAGCGGTAGCTCCGTTCAGCTCGTCGTCGTCCATCAGAGTGATCTCCACTACCGTCTTGTTAGACAAAGAGCCCTGCCTACCGGAACTCGCGCTGACTATTAATCTGGTAGGTCTTTCCACGTCCATGTCAATGTGCATCAACTTTTGTTTCACAATCAATGCGCCGGTTGTTCGATTCAATTTGAAATAAGGATGCTGGGACGTCAGCTGATACACAACTCGGCCGTCGGGTCCTTTATCGCGATCGGTTGCCGTGACATGACCAATCACCGTGCCTGGTATCATCTGACTTCTGCTTCTTATTCCAAATCGATACGTTCTCTCGGTGAATTGCGGGAAGAACTCGTCTCTCGATTCGATCTCCACTCTAACGTTAACCCCCGTGCGAAGACCGCCTGTGTCTGTGGCGCGCAACGTGAACGCGTATCGATTTCGTTGCTCGTAATCGAACATGGCGCGAGTGGTGACGGTGCCCGACTTGGCGTCAACCTCGAACAGTTTCCAACTGTCATCAATGTCGGAAAATCCGTTTGCGGCGGCTGAAGCAATCGAGTAGTTCAACGAACCCGCGAAGATGCCGCGATCCAAATCTGTGGCACGTGCCGTGAAGACGGTCGTGCCGATCGGCTCGTTCTCGCCAACAAATTCGAGATATTCGGAAACTGGGAATTTCGGACTGTTGTCGTTCACGTCTTCGAGATGAATGCGAAGTTTGGCGAGCGCGCAGAGAGGCAGAACCGGGTCGCTGTCGCACGCCATCACCACGAGATTGTAGATATCCGGCTCGAGATCGCAATCGAGCGTTGAGTTCACCAAAATGGCTCCGGTTGTCTTATCGACGCGGAATAGATTGCGGTCGTTTCCTGAGGTGATGTCGTACAACAACGTAGCCGCCGCGCTGTTGGGCAAATCGTCATCCTTAGCTCGCAGAACGGTAACGGTGGTTTCCTGCGTAGCGTTTTCCTGAATCGACACTTCGTAGATGTCCTGCAGAAAGCGCGGAGAATTGTCGTTGACATCTTCCACGATGATCGTCATTGTCACCGGCTCGTCCCCCACCAGCGAATCTGTCACGTTCTCGCTCTTGCTGCTCAAGCGCAACACGTAACTGCGAAATCAGATAAAACAATTTATAATTTACAAAAAAAAAAACCCAGAACTAAAGCTAACTATTTTCAACGCGATATCAAAATTTTTAATCTCACTCACCTGTCTTTGGTCTCGCGATCGAGAGCTCTGGAGAGGATTAACATGTTTCTCGATATTTCGAACATTCCGCTATCGTCACCCGCAACGATGGTTCCGTCCAGCAAGTCCACATCAGAGAGCCTCATTAGCGTCGTGCCTTTCGGTGAGTTCTCCTTTACCGTGAGTTTGTATTCACGGCCGGGAGAAGCGTTCTTCAGACTGCTCAGTCGCACAACGACCGAGCACATTGACGACGCCGGAGGTTTGCCGTGATCCTCCGCGACGATCGCCAAGTTCATTTCCTTCGGTATCGGTCTGGGAATCGCGGTGCGATTGACAGTCAGAACCCCGGTCGTCGGATGTATCGAAAATCCCTTCACGGGTCGCAGCAAGTAATATCGTATTCGGCTGTTCTCCTCCAAGAGGTCATCGTCCGTAGCGTTCACCGTCAAAATCTCCTGCAGGGCTTCTCGACCTTCTGAAATAAGAAAATCAATGTGTCTAGCAAAGTGCAATAAATAAATAAATAAATAAATAAATAAATAAATAAATAAATAAATAAATAAATAAATAAATAAATAAATAAATAAATAAANAATAAATAAATAAATAAATAAATAAATAAATAAATAAATAAATAAATAAATAAATAAATAAATAAATAAATAAATAAATAAATAAATAAAAAAACACGCACACACCTCCCTTTCGAAGAATCGAAAAAGAGAGAAATATTTACAGCTTACGAAATTACAAAGTGTGCTCGCAACGTGATGTGAAACGGGACGGTATTCATTAGTGAGCGACAGGGGCTCAAAGAGCACTCTCGCAAGATCGATTATCGGGTCGTATACATTGTACGAGAGACCACTCGACAGGGATGTGGGAGAGAGAGATCGAGAGATCACGAGCGCGAATTTAAATACTTTCCGCGTGTTCTTATTGCAGATGCGTTCCCGTCGCGCGCGCTCGCACGGCCGGCCGGCCGGCCGGCGAGCAGCAGATATTGCGTTCTTACGGTGGACGGCGCGGAGAGGAGGATAAGCTCTCTCTCTCTCTCTCTCTCTCTCTCTCTTGACATCGGGCCGAACGGAAGTATGAAAAAATAATAACCAGTTATATAAATCGCGCCGCGGCCGGCGTGTGGATCTCGATGGCGCGCGTTGCGCATACAGAAATCATTTCGATGCGTTTCAAATCGCCGGATAACTCGGCATTAATGTGCCAAGCCGCGGCCTAAAGTGCAACGGGCGAGGGAAGGACACGCGGACCGAAACACGCGTGTGGAAGCGAGATAGAACCGAAGGTAAAACCTGGAGGACGTGATTCTTCGGGAATCACACACTGCTTCGCCAGAAGTAAAGGCATTCTCGAAAAAGAGAGAAAGAGAGAGAGAGAGAAAGAGAAAAAGAGAAGCACGCGAAGGAACTGTGTAATTATGCGAAGCGCGCGCGTATGACCGCACGAGGAACGTACGCGATATCTTACTGCGCGATGAATTCTGATTTCCAGCAGCGTTCCGCGGAATTTTTATTATTCTTAATCCCTTCCTTCGTTATTTTTTCTCTTTTTTTTTTTTTATTTTCTCCTCAAAGTGGTATTTTCGGCGACGTTCTCGCTAATCTTCGTGTCCATTGTTCGCGCATTAGTCCAATGCGGTTGGCTCTGTGCTAAGAATGCAGATTATATCACGCGGACTAATAGCTCTTGAGCAGTTTTTGTTTTCACTTAAAATTCGCGCGATTTCTTTCTTTTTTCGAGAGGAGGGGGGGGAGGGGAGAAAGAGAGACGAAGTGTCTCCGATCTATCTTGATGTTATCACCTTTACGAACATCTATAACGATCCCATTAACCTCCCAGGCGCTTCATTAACTTTCGTCGAAACTTCCCCGTTCGATCGTATCTGCAGCGTACCATCTCGACGTGCCGCCTGTCCTTCCTGTGAGGAACGGCGCATAGCTTTTCGCGAACATGCGAGACGAAGCGCGTGAGCCGGGACGAGTCGGAAAGAAGAGAAGGAGAATGCAAATTCGTGAGGTCTTCGTCGCCATGGGAGCTCGAAGCCCTTTTCACCATCCACCGCCTGCCAATCCACCCTCTCTCTCTCTCTCTCTCTCTCTCTCTTTCTTTTTCTCTCCCCGGTGCCCTCCCTCCTCCCTCTTCGCCGCCCACCCAAATACACCATTAGGAGCGGACCTATGTATTTTTAATAAGTTTCGAGAGTCCTCGAAGCCGGCGATCTCGGCCGGCGGTTGCACTGAAGGCGGCTTTTCGGCTGCCTTGCAAACGATGTCCTCGCGCTTATTTATGTGCAAGGAGTTTGCAATCCGCCTTTCTCTCTCTCTTTCTCTCTCCTTTCTCACCCCCCGTCCGCGCCATTCCTTCTCGTCGATCTCTCGCATTCTCTTTCTCTCTCTCTCTCTCTCTTTCTTTCCTCCTTTCCTTCTGCTTTCTCTGCGTCTTTTTCTTTCCCGCGGCATTCGAGCAGCTAGCTTTTCATCGCGCGTCTTCCTCGGCGCGTATCTTCTTCTTTTTCTCTCTTTCGTCTCTCTGTGTTTCTCACCCCCGCGCCGCTCTTTCTCGCGCGCTTTATCTCGGCGCGGTGTCAATTCGAGTTTGGAACACGGGCAACAGGACAACGCGCGTGTCTACTAAAAACCAGTTTTTAAACGCGCGTTTATTTCGCGCCGAGAGATCCGCCCGAGACCTCCCTTTCATATTCTCCTTCTCGCTCTTTTCTCATTCTTTTATGCCTTTATTGCTTCGATTTTTTCGACGCTGACACCGAGGCATCGTCTCTAGCGGATGACAGAACTCGCGCGACCAATAACACCTTCGCGATGCAAAACAGTAATAAATTTCAACTTCGACGGACATTTCAGCGGAAAACGCTAACAATAAAATAAGAAACAAAAAGTAAGCAACTTAGATTAATACCGAGCTGCACATATATTTTTAAACATTAAATTTTATGTAAATTAACACACAAAACATTTTTGAAAATTTGAATTAAATTCAGTTTTAAAAAACACAACATTAAATTAATATTTTAAATGAAAAACACTTGTCAAAATTCTCGAGAGTGCAACTTATTAGAAAAAATATATTATTTAATAAACAGAGTTTTTTTTAATACAATGTCTCGAAATTCTCTTCGCGATGCGTCAAAGTGCAGCGACAAACCTGCGATTTCATCCCAGTCTATCGCTTCGCGAAACAAACAACCGCGCAATCTCGGGGGAACGATCGTTCTTCAATAAATCAAAGAATTATCACCTGTTCGCTGAAGCGGACGCTGCGCGATAAACGTTCGCGTCCGATCATCGTCAAAAGATTTTCGATCGCGGATTTTGCTGGCTACCTGCGTCGTTCCCTAAAAGAAATATGCATCGTGGCTTCGATACGTACCTGAAAGAACAGCCACGTAGGCAGCCTGCTCGAATCGCGGCGCGTTGTCGTTGAGATCGGTCACACGTACGGTGAGATCGGTCGTAGCCTCGTGAATTCCATCGCTGGCAATCACCCGAAGAGTATATTCGGAACGCGTCTCGGCGTCCAGACGCTCCCGCAGGACGATCTTGCCGCCGTACCTGTCGATGCTGAAGGGTCCTGAACTCGTCATGTTGCTGAATCGATATGTCAGCTCCGGCGAGCTGTCAACGTCGTTCGCTGTGAGGGTAGTCAGCACGGTGCCCGGAATAGTACCTGAAATGCACAAAAAAGTCAATTTGTTTACGATAAATAAATAATGTTTCGAGTAAAGTACGAGTATATCGCATAAATTACTTATAGCGTCGATGTCTGCGAGAGGAAAACATTAATAGATGAAACTGTGAAATCGAGATCACTATGAAACAATAAAAAACAGACTGATGTGCGATCACCGAAGAAAATTTAATCCAAAGATCGAAACGTCATATTTTATAAAGTCATATATTTTCATACACGCGGACATCTCGTATATTGACCCTTTACATATTATCGAGAAAAAATTTATTTTGCAATGATGTATATATATGCAGAAGGGAGATAAAAACATCATTATTTTACTAATCGCAATTCTGGCTACTTGATGGCAGACGAAAATGTGCGCCTGACAAAAATAAAGGCAACCGATCTCGAACACAATACGCGGGGGACAACAAAAGCTTTATCGCTTATTTGCATTGCGCAGTTGCAGCTGACGAATTGCATGTTTATGCATAAAAAAATCCCTTTTGATTTCGTTCTTTTGTCCTCATCGTGAACCCACTTTGTCACTGAGAAACGATCGCGCGCGATACGTATACGATGGTACTTTGGCGTATATAGGCTGTTCCCGGGGATCAGGGCGCGCTCTTCCGCGAAGTTAAAGACACTTCAAGGGGATCGTGCTTAAAATGCATTGGATCCGTACTATCGAATCGTTTTATCTTGGCCGTGCCAAGAAGAAGCGGTCGAACGACGCCGCTCGAAAGAAGCGGATGAGTCCTCCTCATTCTCTCGAGGGGACGCGATCGGACGCACGGTCGCCGTGAGTAAATTACAATATCGCTTCTCCCTCGTTCGAGCATTACGCGAAGAAATTGAAAACCGTAACGCGGCAACTAATTTGTGAGCGCAAAGTGTTGCGCTCCGCTTACGTCCGCATATAAAGCATCGCCATATGCGGCTACGCGCGAGCGCATTTGTCGTCAGGAAATTCAGCCTCCAGAAACGCAATTTGTCTTTAAATATGAATTTACGCCTTCTCATAAGTCATCGTGATGCATGCGATCGCAATCAAAATAATTTTTCGGCAACAATAGCGTTTCTTATCAGTGCTCGCATACAAACTTATTCAGTTGTTGAATGTTATTAGTATCATTATTATTTTCTTTTTCTTTTTATTTCTTTATATATATATATATTACTATTTTCTTTTCTTGTTTTATTTTATTTTGTTATTTATTTTATTGAATATGTTTTTCACATCTGCCTTAATGTACAAAAGTTTTACGCGCTTGAGGGGACTTGTCCCAGGGCGCAGAATAAACAACGCTTCTCTCTCTCTCTCTCTCTCTCTCTCTCTCTCTCGCTTTGCATATGTTTTGGAAATAAAAATATCAACATCCAACGTGTGTATAAATATGCGAGAAATAAAAAATAAAATCTCATCATGCTGTGAAGTTTTTCTTTCTGCAAAATTGGTTTAGAGTTTGTCACCACAATGTATTACGAGTTTTTAAATTAAAAAACACATTCGGCATATTGGTTCTGAAATTTTATTTCAACTTTTCACGAGTTAATTTATTTGTTAATTGAAAAACATACGGGATTTTAAATATTTTGTAAACTGAAGCTGAGCGTTAAAGAATTCAACAATCAGCCGTCTCAGGTGTTTTTGTTTTTTTAAAAAAAAAGCGTCAAAAAGCTGACAAGTCGGCTGTAAAATTCTCAGTCGAGCATCTTGTTTCACCCGACGATTTCAGTTATCAATAAACGAGTATCAAATTCCTAACAAACGGTTGTGTAAAAAATAGAGAAATAACGTCTGGGATCTAAAGCGGATCTAAAATTACGTTCGATGGCTTTCAACGATCTGACTGAAAATTCTTCACTGGAACGGTATACGCGAAAGTATACGTATGGTATACGAAGAGAGGTATATCATCAAAGCGCGAGTGGACTTTGATTCCACGACCGTGGCAAGTGATATACGTCGGGCGTAGCAACACCTGCGGCACTAAAAGAATTATTCTGGTACCGGTGCGATGTGTTCGAGAGAGAAGAGAGCGGGGAGGAGGGGGCGAAAAGCAAGATGAGAGGAGTTGAGGCTGGCACGCGGCTGCGACCGCTCGTAAATTTCACGGAGGATCGTTAAAGTCGTGTAAATCGGTTTCCGGAGCGACCCCGCCGTTCACAAGCGAACACGCGCGGCATGACTCTGTTACCGACTTTAACCCCTTTGTTACCCCAAGCGTTTACCGGAAGTGAAAATCGATGATCATGAGAGAGAAAGCGCTGTGTGCTTGACAACGTTTACATCGTGTAAGTATCTCCGCGATAACAAGCGGAAACACCACGCGCGAGCTTTTGTACGAAACTCGATGTAAGGATAAATATAATAATTCTTCAAAAAAATTGTTGCAAAAGGCGCGACCTCCGATCAAAGCGCTAGATTCCGTGTGTGTGTGTGTGTTACGATAAAACATCGATGAACGGGAAGAGAGTTTCTCGCGTTCTGAATCTGGGAGCGCGGCGGCGACACGTGTGTGTACGCGCCTTGTATGGAAAATACGATCTCGTCGGTGGTCTGCCATTGTGTTTCGGTATCTCGCGTCAGCCGCACTTTCGGAAACCGATCGACGCTGTCGATTAAATCCTCCCACGGAATGTACACACAAACGGCCCCGGGAAAAAGAAGGCCCGTACGGGAGCAAGAGGGAGCAAGGGACTCATCCAACATCGGCGAGCAGCCGCGCCTCTCGCAGAAGGATGATAATTATATCCTTTATTCCCTGGCGGGAGTAATTACAAACGTTTACCGCGGGCTGCGTTTTACGGTCAGCGCGCCGAACCCCGCGAATTGAGCGTAATCGATATCGTCATCGTGGAAAGGCGCAAAGCCTCTCTCTCGTGTGTAACGCAGAGCTTACAAGCAGGCTTAAACGTACTTCTGTCGGAGACGCCGGAGCTCGGTGCGCTATCAATTAGCAATTTATAAGCATAAATCACCGGTACGGCAACGCGGCAGGTTGCGATTACCGTAAACACGCGCTAAGAAAACGCCGCGCTAGAAGAGCACGTTTAGAGCAGCCTCGTTATCCCGTCACGTTTCGCGTTACGACCTCGTGATTCATATTTCTATCGAATCCGCGCATTGAATAAGCGAAGCGCATCATCAGCCGTAACTTCAGCGAGCGGGAGGAGGAAAATCTCATCGATCGCGCGCGGGATATTGAGAAGCGTTTCTTGGAGAGAGAAATTATAAACGCCGGTCTGTGATAGAACGCCGCGCGTTTAATTGAATATCCATGATGCGAAGTGACACATTTCTTTACGACGTGACGCGCAATCGCGTCGACCATCGGACGCGGGGGAAACTTCTGCGGGAGCAGGGCGCAACGTGGCTTTTATATAAATAAATTTCAACCGACGTCGCGCGCGTTTGAACGTGACGGTTTCAGTTCTCGTTTGCGCGCGAGGAAGAAGCGCGAGAAGAGAGTTTTATGGCGATACAAATTAGATAGTAATCTTGCATTACGCCATTGGCGCGCGAGTACGTGCCTACGATCTTCGTGTCGTGAGCGTTCTCGAGGAAGAACAAGAAGAAGAAAGTGCAACGCTGCATCGACGCTGCCGCAGAACGGCAGAAGGCAGAAGGGAGCGCAATAAAAAGCTTTAGAAGGTGGAATCTCCTATTATATTCCGTCGTCACTCGAAACGATTGCTAGAACGTGCGTGACTCGCCACCTGTTTCGCTACTGGGAATTCCATTCGGCGCGCGAGGAAGAAGCGAACAACTCTTCGCGCGCCGAAGAAAACGCCTCGCGGGGTGGATGTATCATCGGTAACCGCAGCGACGTAGTCGTCGTTTATTCGACGATGCGGTTGAACTTACTCGATCAACTCGGTCTCCTCTTTCGTCGCGTCATCTTCGCTGACTAGCTTGCCCACCGCGATGGCGATCGAAAAGGCGAACGAAGAACCTTCTTTTTTTTTTTCTTCTTCTGCCTCGCCTCGAGAAGTGGTAGCGCGAGAGGTGGTTGGCGCTTGTACGTCAAACTCTCTCGCGGCAACAGCCCCTCGCGCCGTTTCCATTGAATCGTATCTGTCAATGGGGAACAATATGGTGGCGAGAAAGACCCGGCGAGGTGAGGAAGCCCCCCCATGTACACCACGGGACCCGCGAGCGAAAGAGAGAAAGAAATAAGGGGGGCGAGAGGGAGGACAGACCGAGTTACCGAACGTGCGTGCGCGCGCGCGTCTCGGCAGCCTCCACCTAAGTTATGCAGATTGTTCCGAACAGTTGGACTTTAATACCGGCATAAATCCTTTGCCACTTAACTTTATACTTGAGCAGAATGCGTCCCCCCCGCCTTCTCTGCGCGCTCGGAATCGTCTCTCTTCCACTGTCTGTGCTTTTGCTCTTCATCGACGCTCTTCTTCTTGTTCTTCTTCGTCTTCTTCTGTCTTTCGTCTGCTCGATGAAACGCTCTGTTATATTTTATTCTAAATTTAGCGAATTCCTTTCGTCGCTAACGAAATTTTAATTTTTTCACGAAGGTGTTAGAGATTTATCAAATGCGATTGTATTCATTTCTGACTTCGATCTTCACGTGTATCGAGGGCTTGGGGTGCAACAACGCAGAGTTTCAGTATCGACATGTGAAAGCATTTTTACATTCTCTTTTTTTGTTACTAATATCAGTTTGACGCGCACTTGGCACGCAACTCTGCTATGTCTTTTTTTTTCATCATACGCGGACGACCTTGAGAAGAGTCGACTCATTGAACTCGTTCAATTTCAGGAGGTATCTCGAAGGTTGAGTTTTGTGAGCGAATGACCAGAATGAAATTCGAGCTATCGTTATCGCAAAAATGTAACTTGAACTGGTATCGCAGGAGTAACACAAGATACTGCAATGATACTGTGACCAAGTGTCGTCACAAATACGTATATCTTACCAGTCTGCATTGTTGTGACCGTCTTTGATCATTTTGTAATTTTTTCCTTATTTTTTGTTATTATTTTCAAATAAAGTAACAAAAAAAAATACAATTGTTGAGTCGTTTTATGAAGACTCTCTTTCATTAGCTTCAGCAGAATCTCAGCGATTGGCAAGCGCCTTTGCGATTATTGCTTGCCGTTAGTATGCGCTTTCATATTTGCAATAAATTTACTGAGAAAAGCTAATTGCAGACATTAAGCGCAAAGCGTTTGCTAAGCACTGAGTTCTGCTGAATACGCGGCTATTTGTTCGTTTGAGTTTCCCGCGAATACAGTGTTCGCGCGCAATCGAACCAGTTGGCAAACTGGTTTCTGTCCCGCAATATGGCGGCTTGTACTTTCAGCGGGAAACTCACCGATCGAGTAATGTCCGTTACGCTCTGCAGTTCGTTTTCAACAGTTCGTACGTGTGGTTGCGGTTGTTTTTCAAAAACGTTCAGTGTCACATGAACATAAATAAGGATATAACAACAAAGGCAATTAGACAAGAGAAACGTACTTTGCAGATAACCTCAAGAATCAGCACGTTTTGTTTGCATAAATTGATAAAAGGCAGTAAAGCCGGTTTGTTTACCTACACGATAACTGCCATAGGTATTATCTTGTTCAATATTCACATACAATCCTTTTGTTAACGATGACTTTCTGTTAACACTTGCTGATATAATTGATTGTGAACAAGTGATTTTATGCAGACGCAATAAGGTTGCTTGATTGCTCAGTGCTTTATGTAAACAAATATGTGGCTATCAAAATTGAAGTTGCTTTATTATGGTAGTATTACATTTGTAATTTGTCTTTTCTAATTGTTACACATTGAAATTTAATATCATTTCAGAGAAAAGCTGTCGTCACATCAATACAATGGTCTCTTCGCAAGAACTGTACACAAATCCAATTACTATATATATAGAAGGAAATATAGGAAGTGGCAAAACAACGTTTTTAACTCACTTTCAGAAAATTAAAGATGCTACAATATTGGAAGAACCAGTAAGTCTGTGGCAAAATGTAGCTGGAGTGAATTTACTGGTCAGTATTTGGTTGCGATATTTTTAAGTTGTTACATAAGAATTATTATGAGAATTTTTTAATGAAAAGGAAACATTTTATAATTATTTCAGGATCTTCTGTACAAAGATCCAGTAAATTATGGGTTCCTCTTTCAGTCTTATGCTCAATTGACTAGACTGCAGTTTCATACCATGAGTACACCGTCGCCTTACAAAATCATGGAAAGATCCATATTTAGTTCAAGAATTTTTTTAGAGAATATGAAGCGTACGTCCATGATAAGACATATGGAAGCTGAGATCTTGGAACAATGGTACAACTGGTGTATGGAAAATACTAAAATAAGAGCAGACCTGATAGGTATATATATTTTTTAAACTAGGAAAAATTATATACATATATATTTAAAGTTTGACTTCTATATTAAATTACGCACTTTTATTGTATATTTTCAGTGTATCTAAGAACGTCGCCCGAAGTTGTGTATCAAAGAATGCAAGCTCGCGGACGTAAGGAGGAAAATTCTGTTTCGTTGGAATACTTGAAGCAAATTCACGAACTTCACGACGACTGGCTCGTGAGGCGTACTTTGTTTTCTGTACCAGCACCGGTTATGATTGTGGACGGTGACAAAAGTCTCGAGGAAATGGTGCCACAATTTGAGAAGTGCAAAGATCGGATACTTAGTGAGAAAATTGATGACACATCAAATACCAGAATAGTCTTAAATACTAAAGCGTAATACCGGCACATATTTTTAATATTTGATCTTATATAATATAACTTTTGTATTTTAGACTAGTAATTTAAAACAACTGATGTTAAAGGTGTTGAGAATTTAATAGAGAAAATAATTTAATTATTCTGTCTTACCTTCTGAAATTGAAATAATGCTGTGTTCAGGAAAGGTAGGTTGATTGTCGTTGACATCGATCACCCTCACGCTCAAAGCCGCTGTGCCGGTTAATTGCGGATTTCCCTGATCGGTTGCAATGATGGTCAGCCTATACTTTTCACGTATTTCGCGATCAAGAACTATATTTGTTCGAACGACACCACTGTACGGCGGGCTTATTGTAAAAGCGTTGTCCGGATTTCCATCCACAATATGGTATAGAATTCTGCTGTTCAGTCCTTGATCAGCATCACTTGCTGAAAGCTACGGCAGACAGTTATATAGTATTTTGTTATTGTAATACGACGATATACATATGTATAATTACACTTTCAATTCTTATTTTTTATATGCGTATTTTATGAATGTAAAAATATTAATATTATTTGCACAGTATTTACGAAGATGTTAAACGTGTTTTCTTACCTTCACGACGAAATCTCCCTTGGCGTTTCCCTCGAGCACAGTAGCCGAATACTGTATTTGCGTGAAGATCGGCGGATTATCGTTGACGTCGAATACCTTGACGATTACTTTGACATACGCTTCCAAAACATCCGGTCCCGCTGTTCTCGCCACTATATTGAGGATGTGTCTCGAGCTTTCTCTGGGCTCTTCCTTCGGCTGTTGACCCTCCAGAGATCTACCCCACGAATTGGTACGACCCTCCTCGTCCGGCACCTCGTCACTAGGCCTAACCGTCAAGTCGTTCCAGAGCTCAGCGTCCAGTCTTATGGGATTGTTGACACGCAGCAGGCCGCTATTTTCGTCGATCGCGAATGTGTCGAAGTCGTTTCCCGACGCGATTGAATAAGAAACGTGCTGTCTTCTGCCGTCGGTGCGCACCGCTGTGATTTGAACGATCTCCGTGCCAGACACCGAGTTCTCCTGAACGACGACGTTGTACGTGTCGTTCTGAAACTTCAGCGCGGGCGTTAGATCCGCGTGATCGCCGACCTGAAGCTCGATCAAACCTTCGGCGCTCTTGGGCGGATTTCCCTTGTCTGTGGCTAACACCTGCAGATGATACGTCTTGCCGTTGTCCTGCGAGAGCGATAGCGCCGCCGTCACTTCCCCGGTGCTCGGGTGTATCCGAAACTTGGGTTTCTCCTGTTCGTGCAGAAACGAATACACGATCTCGCCGTTGGCACCCTCGTCGGCGTCCGTCGCCGACACCCGAAGGATATTCTGGCCTGGTTGCGTGCCAATCGACACGTGCGTCCGAAAGGGATATTGGTGAAAAACCGGCGCGTTGTCGTTGACATCTCTGATGGTGATCTCGACGGATATTGACGTGCTCTTCGCGTCGTACTTGCCACTGTCCGTGGCGACTATCAGAAAGGTATAGCTGTTCTGACGTTCGCGGTCCAGTGAACTGTAACGACGACAAAAAGAAACGGAAATTAGTCGTTATGAGACGGTGACTCGTTGTCGATTACCGAAGACAATCGAGAAACATTAAAAGAAAATAACAAAAACGAAGGTATATATTTCTTTATATATACAGGAGAGATTATTATCCCGATTGGCAATTCAAGCAATACCGTTTGGCAACGTTGTTGAAGAGTTATTACAGAGAATTCTAATTTAGATATTTCACAAAAAATCGTACCTCAAAACAATGTTACCGTAAAGTTACGCAAACAAGTCGAGCGAGACGGAGTTCCCATCGCGGGCAGTTTGCTGCCCGCGATACAACGTAATGTTCGCAATAACTCTTAATAAGCGTGGAATAATGATCGTCGTTAGTGCACGAGTTCGATACGCTTATTTACGATTGCACGAAGCGAACTCGAATGCACCGAGTGTATTTTTCGTTTACCAACTACGGTTCAGAGAGTTTATAAATCTCTCTTATATATATTAATTTATAAAAATAAACCAAATAATACAATAAGATCTAGTATATTGCCCGTATTGATTTTTTTTTTTTTTTAAATCATTTTATAAACCTCTGTTATCTAAACAGAATAATAGATTGCGGGGAACAATTCTTTGAAGAAAAAAAGCTCTTAATAAAAAAAAAAAAAAAAAAAAAAAATATACGTAAAACAGTACGGGTCATCCCAGAAATTCTCTCGGTGTCGTTGCTACCAGTTCGTACTATTTATCGAGTCGTTAACTAACAAGAATTGGTCCTCGTTTGATCCGCGCGTTGTATCTCTGCCAGGTAGTTACGGAGAGAGCGAAGAAGGAAAAAAATGTTCTGTACACCTCCTACCCCGTTTGTCGGCTGCTTCCAAAGGTAACAGAGACGACCGTCAAGCAGCAAGAACAACAGCAACAAGGCGACACGAAAGCCGAGCTCCGCGACAACCGATTGAAGAAGGAAGATGCCAAAAAACGAAAAGAGGTGAAGAAAGAGAGAAAAAGAGAGAGAGAGAGAGAGAAAAAAAAAAAAGATGGGGAGACGAAAACGAGACGGCCGGATTCACCGTCGAGAAGAGACGATGAAAGAGAGAACGACACGCACGGGAGAGAACGGTCACCCAAGCCCGGGATCTGGTTTTGCATATCAGTCATTTTGCCGGCTGAAATAATGCATTTGAAATGCCACATGGCGTCTCGCTAAAATGACACGGCGGCGCGAAAAAATATGCGATCCTCCTCACGCTTCTTCTCGCGATTACCAACACTTTTCCCCGTATATCATTTCCGAACGATTCTCTCGATCGACGAACAAGATTCAGAGAAGCGACAAAATGCGGAATAAACAAGATCGTTGAATAATATCGTTTAACGGAGATCGACAGCGGAGACTAATCGCGGAGACTAAAAGTGCGAGGTAAAACGCGAAATGTAAGTCATCAAAACGATGAATGTTGGTGTGTCGGTTACGCGATATTTTGCGTTGAAGCGTAAAATGAAAAAAAAAAACAACGAAAATTATATATTACAGTGATTAAAATTATCGGAAGCAATTCATCGAAATTATCGATCGTGTGTCTCTCCTCGTTCTCTTTCTCTCTCTCGACAAAGAGAAGACGACAATACGAGGAGGCGATTTTAATCACACACACACACACATACACACACATCGCGGAACTATCGCGTATAAATATCCGCTCGTAAAAGTTGCAACGTTTTGTATATAAAAAGCTCGGTACTGAAATCGATTCTGCGAAGTTGGCGCGCGCAATTAGCGTTTGAAGTTTTCCTTTGCTCGTACACACACGGTCCGTGTGGAGGACCGTATCGAGCGGTTAACGATCGGCGGCTGTGCACGCTCCGTCGGGATCAAGGTTCGCGGCGGCCCGCAGCGAAATCGTCCATTAATTAACGAAGCACGACCTTGCCTGTTCGAAGGGATGGACGGAAGCCACGGAAAGTCCGCGCCTTTAACGACACATCCCGAGATATCGGTTTATTGCGCGCGTAATCATAAGAGACACACACACACACACACATACACACACAAACAAACCGAAGGAACGAATGCGTGGAAGAGAGAACGCGAGGAAAAAAGAAAGGAAGGGTCGGGTTGTGTGTGCGTTGACGAGTTATGCATACGGAATCGTTTAATCGGCCATAGTGCGTCGTTCGTGAAGCGCATCGACTGACTTTATAATTTTACGACGTTCCTAGACCGAGATGCGTTGCTTCTTTCTTCCCCACCGTTTCTCGCGAGTGGGTTTTTTTTTTTTTTTTTTCGCTACGATCCGGCTCTCTCTGCGCTCCGTATATCTCTTTCTTTTCCCCTTTCTCCCCACCTACGCTATCCGTCCCGCTTTACGACGTTACACACCGGCGTAATATCCCTCTGGGTGATCCTAATCGGACGTGCAATAAAGGTCGCGGTAATTAACGCCAGGATGAAATTAGCCGGTTGATAGTCGAGATCGCGAGGCAAGACTCGCCAAGAGAAAGAGAGAGAAACATAGATAGATAGAGAGAGAGAGAGAGAGAACGTCTGAGAAACGGAATCTTCGGGAGAGAGAGAAAGAGAAGAACACAGAAGAGGTCAGGAAGGAAGAAGAGAAAACGACAAGGAATGACAGAAGGTGGAGGTAAAAGAAGAAGTTGAGGCGTACGTAAAAAAGCAAACGACGGGACGTGCGCACTCACCCGGCGGTAGTTACGACGCCGGTCAGGTTGTCGACCCTGAAGAGCCAGCTTGTCTCCTCGGCGATGGCGTACGTTATCTTCCCGTTTGCACCCTGATCCGGATCCGCCGCCTTTACGGACATCACGCTCGAGTCCGGCGGAACGTCCTCCAAAATGGTCGTCGCGTACTTGGCGGAGTGATAATTCGCCGGGTAGTTCGACGACCCGTACTGAAAACCTCCGTTACGCGAGGGAAACTCCGTGTACTGATTCTGCGCGAACGTCGGCGCGTTGTCGTTGATGTCCAGAACGATCACGGTGAGATTGCAGTGCGATTCCCGACTCGGCTTTCCCCTGTCCATAGCCGAGATCGTCAGAACGTACTTGGGCACGGTCTCGCGATCCAGATTCGACATCGATAACACACCGGAAGTGGGATTCAGATTGAACTTGGAGCCGATATTGCCACCTGAAAACGATGAGAGGGGAAAAAAAATTCGAAGATTAAACACCGATATTGTTAATTTAAGTTCGGGAATTTTTTTGTTTTTTCTATTAATTCCGAACGGGGAAAATAACTCACTTGCGATGCTGTAGACGATCTCGCCGTTCTTTCCTTCGTCGGTATCGGTCGCGGCTACGGTGTGAATCGCAGAAATCTTTTGATTTTCCGGCACGGCGAGAGTGTAGCAAGAACCCGGACGAAATTCCGGACTGTTGTCGTTCTCGTCCAACACGATCACATCCAGATTGGTGATGTCCAATCGCTTGTTGGATCTCGCCAAGATGGAAACGGAGTAACGGGAGACCTTCTCGCGATCCAACGGACTTCGAAGAGTGACTTGACCGTCGGACGAAATGGCGAACTTGTTCGAAGCCGTGTCGTTCGGGATGCTGAAGGTGACGTTGCCTGGTGCAAAGCAAAATAATAATAAAATAACGTCACGCGTTGTAATTGTCAATTTTTTTCTGTAAAAAAAACATTTCGTATTATTTTAAATGTATATTTTGCGTTCTAAACGCAACGTGATACGCACGCTGCTATCCGGAGACTTCAACGCCGGGCATCGTCGCGGTCGCGGCGGCGGAGACTTCAATGCATTCGATTCTCGAATTCCAGCGCTTAGCCCCCGTGCTGTTTGGATTTTTAGCGGGTTTAGAACAAAGCGACGTGCGCGCGCGTGTGCGTGCGTCGAGCCGAGACCACATTTCGTCGTGTTTTCACCGAGAGAGAGCGGCGACATCGTGCGCGCATACACACATACGCACAATACGTGCGTGTGCGCGCGGAACCCGCGCGTGTATGACGGCGTCGGTGTTGGTGGAAGCCGGTGATTTGCCTATGCGTACCGCGGCAGGCCGACGGCACGATGATATACGCGGCCATTGTTTCGCCTCGTCCTCTCTAATCCCCTTCCCTCCTAACCGCCCCCGTTCCGCAACCCGCTCCCATAGCTCGCAGCATCCGCGCTACATACGCTACCGAGCGACTCGTGTCCTTCGGGATACCACGACGAGAGAAAGAGAGAAACAGAGAGAGAGAGAAGAGAGCCTTTGGCGCACCCGCGAGGCGCGCTAATGCGCTCGTCCGGTACACGAGCGCGTCGCGATAGATAAGCACGCGCAGAAACCGGAGAGATGTACCCGTGTTGTCGGCATCGGCGGCTAGTTTGCCGCACGCGGGAATCACAGAAGACTCTTCCGCACGCCGTTTAACCGTTCGTCAGTTTCTCAAAACCGGCCTGAGATCGGATCGGCTCTCGCGAATAAGTAAAACAACACGCGCAGATCTAGCGCGATCAAAAGAGAAATGATGCGCGCCCGTGTGTGACCGTCATCGCGCGCGACATATACGAAAGATAGATACACGCGCGTTAACACGTTCGAGAACTTGATTTATCAGATTTTCACGCAAAAGGCGATAATTGACTTCTCGCTCATTGCCTGATTTCTCGATGTGGCTGAAAAATCAGAGGCATTAAGAGGAATATGAAGTACGATTACGAGAAAAAGAAAGATCGAGTATTTCCGGAACGAGCGCGGGTTTCAAGCAGCGCGCGCGCGCGAATATCACGATATTTATCGACTCGTCTTCTACCTGTCGGGAGACACGTCGACTCGTTCTCTTAACCGCCGGATTCTTCCCTTTACGCGGACAGGATTGCTAATGTATGCTACGAGCTCGTTCAAGCGTTCTTTCTCTCTCTCTTTCGCAAAACTCCCGCGACGATAATTAGCGGCGTCGCGAAGAGCCTCGCATTTGCCCGCGGAAGATGACGCGATCTGCGCCGTAAATAACACGAATGAGCTCGCTCGAAAGCTCGTTTACCGCTTTTTCCCGAGGGACGGAGACTCCCAAGGACGCTCGCCGTCGGTGTTCGCAGCGTGGGGGAGAGAACGAACGAATCCGCGACGTCGGAATTTTCTCCTCCCGATGGAAGAGTCTTTGACTCTCTCTCTCTCTCTCGCTTTTTCAAGACTCTCAACACAAAAACGCGCGAGAAAGACAGAGAGAGAGAGAGAGCAGACGACGGACGCGAGAAGCGTTTCCGTCGCCGCAGCGGGATATTCCGCGCGTAGAGAAACTTACACGCGATCGGAACGCGTGTCGTCGTTCAACAATTCCGAGAACGAGAGAGAGAGAGAGACTCTCGGAGTCACGCGGAGTCATTTCACTGAATTTACTGTAATGCTCGATACTGGCCGGATTCAAGACAATTATTCGAGGTATTTTCGTGGCAGGGCTTTCCTATTAGCCGCGCCGAGTACGTATCCGGCCGCAATTACACGTTTCGCCCTCTCGCGCGATTTGAATGCGGTGTGTGTAGGTGGCGTGCGCGGGGCAGCATCTTCCATCCGGAGAACGAGAGAGAGAAAAGCGAGATTGCGAGAAGAGAACGAGAGACGTTCGAAGAGGAACGAGAGATAACGGATTGTAATTTCAACCCGCGCTCCATACACGTCTCTAAATTGACAGTCCCCTTCCGCACCGCCGAGGAGGACCTTTATGCGCGCACCACCGAAACAATAAGGACGAGGCATCTAAAAGGGAACCCCTCCTGTTTTGGTCCTCCTTGTTACTCCCGGCGAGCGATAAGTTTCGCGACCGCGTTGCTCTCTTTGCCCCGATACGGCATTTATACGCGCGAACACGCGTTTACGTCGCTTCGCTCGAGATCGTAAATCGGAAAAACCGCTCGATCCGGTTCGAACGAGAACGTCGTTAAATTGACAATAACTTTATATCGTGGATATTCTCCGTGAAATAAACAAATAAGCGAGACAAAGAAAGGAACGTGTTGCCACTTCTTATTATTTACCTTCTTTTTGTTTCGCTGCCGGTCCCGCGACGTCCAGCACGGAAGCTCCGACGTTAAGATTCTCGGAAATCATGACAACGGGATTCGGTTTTAGTAAGCGAGGAGGTCCGCTCATCTGTGCCGTCGCCGGTGTCAGGCTAAGTTTCAGCACGGCTTTGCGGGGCGGCGATCCGTGATCGTTGGCCGTAATCTCGAGATCTGTGAGCTTTGTGACGGGTTTCATGAGAGTCACGATGCCGGAGTCGTAGCCCACGGAAAACCGCGCCTCCTCGTTGCCCGAGGTTATCACGTAGGACACCCGGCCGTTATCGCCCGAGTCCTTGTCCACGGCAACGACTCTCACGAGGCTGGCACCTGTTGACGTTAAAAAAAAAAAAAGAAAAATGCAGGATTGCAATTAATTATCCCGTTATGTATTTGTAACACGCTTCTTAGTTTGGCGAGGCGTGACTTACCGGTTTGAAGATTCGACGCGACCGATATTTCCGTTGATTCCGGCGAGACGAAGACGGGATCGTTGTCGTTCTGATCGAGAACGATAATTCTCGCGGTGACCGTGGAAGCTAGTTGCTCTCCCGGCGACGCCCGATCCGACGCCTTTAGGATCAAAGTGTACTCCCCGCGTTCCTCTCGGTCCAGTTGCTTGGCGAGCGTCAAAGCGCCGGTCAGAGAGTCCACGGCAAAGCAATCTTTCGGCGGAAACTCAGCCACAAGACCGTATCTGAGCTCGCCGTTCAATCCGCTGTCCAGATCGCTCGCGGTCAGATTGTAAATTGTCGAACCGATCGCTGCCTTCTCGAACACGCGCACGGTTATAGGATCCTGCGGCCATTTAGGCGCGTTGTCATTTGCGTCCTCGATGACGATCTTCACGGAGACGGCGATGCTCTGGGGATTTCCGATCGAAGTTGTGTCCAACGCGCGAATCTCCAGATGATATTCGCTCACGCTCTCGCGATCGAGAGAATTGGCGACCACCAGCTGACCCGAGCTGCGATCGACGTCGAAAGCGGGAAACTTGCTGATCGGCGTAAGCGAGTCCAAGGTGAAGGCCACGCGACCCGCTGGACTCGCCCCCGACACTGACCCCACCGCGTGACCGATACTCGCGTCCTCGCGCACCTGCAAACGCAAGCGTACATTGTTTTAGGTATCTCTTCGTCACACTGGCTACCTTTCTTTCTGTGTTCCTCTTGGTGTAAAAACAACATTTTACCATAAAAATTCCGCGTTAAAATCATTATCCGATCGTCAGTAATTTCTATAGAAAATTTCTGTAAAACCTTTAATAGCCAAGCAACGTGTATGTATAAGAACGGTGAAAGCACGTCAGGGCTCGTACGCGTTCTAATGAATAATTGCAGAAGGGGGGGCAGAATGACGGACTCGCGGACTGATAGCGTTCAGCGAGGCTGCGCAAACGAATCGGCGAGCAAATGAATCCTACCGGGTGGCGGGGTCAATGGTACTCACGTTAAAGGTAAGACTGCTGCTTGTGAAGGTCGGCCGGTTGTCCGCGAGCGCCAGCACCTCGACTCGCAACGCGCGGACGCTGTGCCGCGGCGGATGTCCGGCGTCGGTCGCCTTTACGGACACCCGGTAGACGTTGCGCTCCTCGTGATCGAGCACGGCCTTGGTCCTGATCATGCCTGTGATCGGGTCGATGGTGAAGACGTTGTAGCCGTCCGAATCTCGATCTAAAGTGAATAAACAAAAAACCACATCTCAATGGGAAATCTTCTCGAAGGGAGATGCGAGACGGACGGACGGACGGACGGACGAAATTGCGAATCTTATCGACGCGCGAGAGAGAAACACGCGCGGGGTGGACGGAAAAATTTGTGCACACATTTTTGAGAGCCGCGAGAAGAATCGTGTACGCGAAATAGAGGCGCGATAGATAGAGAGCCGCGGAATGAGATGCGACTTGACGTACGTGAACGAGGAGAGAGGTAAGTACATCAGCGGACGCGCTCCTCGACAATATAACAGTACTACGAGCGAGAACGATGTTAAGATTTAATCTCACGATCAAGAGGTTTTTGCCGTACGGCGATCTATACGATCGAGACAATTCGATTCTGATCATAACTGCCACGAGGATGGGATCGAGCGTTGCGGAGTTTTAATGTTCGCCGTACATATATATATAGACGATGGTATTCTAGCAGATTACACGCCCGACAAAAACGTCCTTAGACCGCTTTTAAGACCGTGCATAATTGTTTCTGTAATTGCTGCTGAGTTATTAAAATCTCAAAAAGTTCGAACGTTCTATTGCGAGACAGAAAGACCGAGATAAAAGATCAAGAGATCCGGGAGAGACCCAGTCTCTCCGTCGAGACACGCGGGTAAGTGCTGTTTCTCGCAGTTTTTCTCTGTCATTTCCAAGTTTCAATAACCAACGTAACAAAGTAATTATTGATCACGCGCTTGGTACACACACACACACACACACACAAGCGCGAGTTTCTCGCCAATAAAGATAATAGCGATAAGCGATAACTCAATCGATTGGTTGCACATGGTAAAAGTTTGCTGGCACTTTCGCATTTCAATTATAGACACGCGAAACTAATTGAGAATTTATTTGCCGAAGAAAATAAATTTTTTGAAGCTGCAAGTGTTTTTTTTTTTTTTTTATTTTTTTTGCTATAAAACGTTCGCTCGTTTTAATTGGCGATTCGATTTTTCTTTGTTTTTTTTTCTCGATAATCGATTTCCTTTCTAGTCAGTTTTTATTTTTACTTTATGTTGTTACGCTCGATAAAGATATTATTATTATTATTACTATATTTAATCTCCTGTAAACTTCTGAACTCGTGATCCAAGCAAGTTTTGAAAGTGAGATATCCTTTGATATTGTATATGTTTTAAAAAAACGAAAACAAATAGAAACAATATCAAAACTAATGTTATTTCTTTAAGTTAAAACTTGTTGAACAAAATCCCATTGAATTTTTACAGATCTTTTGCAACATTTTAACCTGATAAAAAATCGCGTTGGACGTAGATGTCAGGATTGCAGGATTAATATGAAACTAAATAAATTATTGATTAACGTCAACATTGGAGTCAAACGATGGATTCTTACCTTTCAAGATGCTGTAAGTCACCGAAGCGTTTTCACCGAGATCGATGTCCAGAGCTCGCACCTTGGCGACTTCCGTTCCCGACGGTTGCTCCTCCCGAATGCTGACGACATCCCTCTGAGGATCGACGATCTCGGGCGAGTTGTCGTTTACGTCCAGTACCGTGACCTTCATGGGTACCCGAGTCGCCCTGGACGGTGTTCCCCGATCCCGCGCCTCCAGAACCAGCTCGTGTACGCTCTTCGTTTCGCGATCGAGCGGCTCGCGCGTTGTGATCTCGCCTGCGAGTTATCAAACAAAGAGAAGAAACGTTGAACGTTTATTGTCCTTCACAAGAACGCCATTGATGGCAAATTATTATAACGATCTATTGGCAATTATTAAGAATCTAATTATCATCAGTTCCCGGTAGCGCTTGACCGGCGCGTTATTGACGGACGATGAAAAATATATTTATGGACAAAAAGCGTCAATCCGAGTTTTTTTACGTTGGAAGGATATTTAAAGGATTCTCTGCGGTCGGACGCTGCTGCCGTACCGAAGCTCGTTCGAGTTCGCATAAAATCGAATACGAACGACTAATCGACGTATCGCGTGATGCGTCGAACGCGGTTAGAGACCGACCTTATCAATTGCTCTCGTCGAGAACGCTTAATTGGATAATCGTTACTCGTATTCCGCGATCGCGCCTCGGCACTGGGAAACTTTCGTTTTTCGTCTGCGCTCTCTCTTTCTCTCTTTCTCTCTCTCTCTCTTACCTCCTTGCGCGTATACCTAATAATAATCGTGCCACGGGCGTGCGTAGCCACGCGTGTAACAAGCGCTCTACCGTAATTACGTATTGCAGGGAGTAGTCATGATCGAGAAAAGGTGAAGGAAAGACACGACGAAGAATAAGGAGAGAATGGCGCGAGCGAGACAGCGAGAAGAAAGGAAGGTAACAGCTCGATGACAGCTCGACGCGATGTGAAACAGAGAAAAAAAATATACTTTAAACCGACCCCGAAAAATCGTTGGTTTTTTTTTCTTTGAACCCCACAGTCCGGGCACATTAATAGATAATTAACCGACTAATCGCGATAGCCAGAACTAGTCCTAGGGGATTATAGAAAATAGATCGGGATAATAATTCGTTCGACGACGGAGAAATACGGACGGAGTCCGTATCGATGTCCCGCGCGACATGCCCCGGGCCGCGAGTTCTGACGTGCCGCTACGAATTCTTGAAGCGTCCCAAGCGTCTCTCACGAGACCCCGTCTGACGACCGTCCCCGACGTGTTCGCCGGCACCAGCGGCAGAGTCGGGGACGGTCGTCGTCGTACTCCGTCGTCGACAAGACAAACGATCGACGAGGAACATGCAAACGCGCCGCGCGCTCACCACATCGGGCGGATACCATCGCGGAACAATAAGAAGTATATCGTTAGGACGTAAGCGTGCGCTAATGCGTTTCTCGTGTTAGCCGTGGGACCGCGCGCGGTTCGTTCTCGTCGTGCCGTGGTGTAAGAAACGAACGTTTTTGTCTTCGCGTGCCTCTATCAATATTTGGAAATCCTTCCGCCGCGGATCGGGACATACCGGGGAGAGAAAAGCTGGACGACGGCAGCTTGCGAGAACGTGCGCGCGGCGATAACTTGGAACTCGGGCGCGTTAGTTTCTCGAAAATCAAACAGCGGTTCGACGAACGAAGGAGAGATCCGAACGAGAGACGACGACGACGATGACGATGACGACGATGACGACGAAGACGCTGGAATACCAGACGAGAGTTCAGCCCTGCGTGAAACCTGCTCGGCGGCTTTGCAACCGCGCGCGCGCGAATGTTGCAAACTAGCCATGCAACCTTATCTTTAATTTGATCATCGTTGCAACGCCGCGCGCCAAATTATCGGCGCATAGGAAAGTTGTGGGAAACGCGCGTTTGAAACACGTTTTGCCTCGAACAAGAAAAAAAAAATCACATATAAATACTGCTAAGTATAATACAAGAGAGATTTGATCGATATTTTTACGTTGCGCGGCTTAATTATAATATAAATTGATCGTAATCGTCATCCATCGTAATGAACTACGCGCCGGATACGACGTTCGAGACGTGTTTCGAAACGTTTAAAAGAAATAATCAAAGCGAGTTACTCGCAAGTGGACGACGCGCATCCTCATCCTTGAGGAGTAGTCGTGTGTTCTGTGTGAGCAGAAACCTTCGTCTAAAAATGAACGTATTTATGAACACTCGGCACGCAAACCACGTGGCGCGGATGGCACGTGGCCGCCGCGCCAACGGGCATTCGATCCGAACGAGATAAGCATCGAGAACGGGTGACAGGTCACGGAAATTCCTGAGGATCAATAATAGGCCGCATTGCGCGCGCGCGCGCTTGTCGTAACGGATTGCGAAGTGTACGAGGATGTGTACACGCGGATTCCACGCGCGCGAAGACGCTGCGCGGCTCGAGAGAAGTGTCGGTATGTGACTTCGACATTCTCGACGAACGTCAGCGTACTCGAAACATCCTCGTCGAACTTATAACAACCGTTAATCGCGCACTTCCACCCTCTCCCCGATACATGTATATTAGGATCCGATCGAGGTCTCGAGTCTGACAATCAAATCACGCTCGCGCTTTTCATAAATCACGACCGGTCGATCGCTCTCGCGCGAGAATAAGACTCCCCCTTAATTGGATGAATGGAGAAAAGGGTGCCATTAAGCGGGTATTACGGTCGCCGGTGCCTAACGGGCGTAAAGAGTTTCGACGTCTGCCGGATCTCGAGGGTTTTTTTCTCAATGAGAGATCGCGGTTAGAGACGCGATCGAAGGACAATGGCCCAGCGAAATTTCAACTCACTCACAGCCGGAGTCGGACCGTTGACCGAACAATGTGCAGTCGCACACACTGTGTATGCAGCGGGGATTAATATAGAAGTACTCGTACGACAAGACAGCTGATACTTCCGGCAGCGCGATCATCCCCACCCGTCTCTCTCTCTCTCTCTCACTCTCTCGTCGTCGTTATATCCCTCGTTTCTTTTTTCTGCCTGGTCTCTTCGCGCGCAGACTTCTCGGGATGACTCGAGAAGTCCCACCTCGCGTCGGCAAACAGGCAGCCCCCACGGATACGAAACGAAGCGAGTAAGATAGAGACAGAGACCCCGGGCCCGGTCTCGAACCCGGAGAGAGCGTGTACACAAATACTCCCGTGTCGCATGCCAATCAAACCGCGCGGCACATTGCATACGCCGAGGCGCATGCAATGTACCGCGGACGTGTGCGTTTTCGCGGCGTGTGACGAGCCCCGGGCCCCGTTCCCGATGATTCGTTACACGCCGGCCAAACGAAAGCGCCACTCTTACCAGATTATATTTTAATACCCAGACGAGAAGAGCGCGCCGCCGCCGCCGCCGTCGCCGCGCTCCTAAAAATCAGCTTCACGGAGATCCCCCCCCGGAGAGAAACGATCTTTGTGTAGTTCTTGTTACTTTTTTTTTTGTACTTTGGCAAATCGCTGTTGAAATATTTTTTTTTTTTTTTTAATTAACAGATGTATTTGTAAAGATCAATTTTTTCTTTTCTAGTTTTACCATATGTAAAGAGAGTATGTACATGTGATCGTTTTTTTTTTTACATGTCTGATCAGGTGTGGCGACATCAATCCGAGCGTCTTTTTTACGAAATCGCTCGACAATGGCACGGCATAAAAGGCCGTTGGATTGACGCAACGGCACAAACGCGTAAATTACACGCGCTCTCTCCGTTACAGCTCCGGGCCATTTAGAAAATGAACTGTATATCCTTTTCATACACGTCCCTCAACGTCTCTCGCGCCTAAATCTAATTTTTATTAATCTTACATCTCGTTCGTTTCTTCATCGCTTTGAAAGAAGCGAACGAATGAACGAATTACAAAGCAGAATCATCTCACAATTGACGATTTCAAACTCGAGAAACTAAAAAAAAAAAAAAAAAAACAATCTATCAAAAGCATATTTTTAAAAATTTAAAACAGATTATAAATCTTTCTCAAACAGGAATAGAATTAATAAAGAAATGAAGTGCCGCACCGAGATTGCAACACTAAATAACGAGACGTTTCAAGCGAAGCAACGTTAAAAAGGAAAATGGGAATAGAAATTGCTTCCGCGGCGATGCATTCCTGCGGCTGCGCACGCACCATTGTATTATGACAATACCGCAAAGCAAAGCATCGCGACAAGAGAAAGCGAGGTTACAAACGTATAACCAAAATGTTAATCGCCGCGGATCGATCACTGTCATCGTGGTGCCCGCAAAGTACCCCAAGAGTCCATCCACCGAATCAGGATGTTCCATCCTCTCTCTTCGTGCCATCTCTTATTCACGGTTGTCAAGTAGCCGCGCGACTTCGGTGTGAATTTAACTTTGGTTGAGAGAGGGTAACGGACGCGCACCGGTCGGATCGAAGAATATAATGGCAATTCTCACCGGGTTTGCTCGACGAAATCTCGAATCGCGCTTTCGCAAGCAACTCGAAAACGTCAAAACTCGGCGAACTGGTGGAAACGATTCGCCAATATTTTTCTCCGCGAGTTTTCGAGCTGCGTGGGTATCCTCACGCGCGGTCCTCGATCCGGGCCCGGGACCCGTCTTTCGCAAACACTCACGTGCGTTCGTTCCGACACACGAGAGAACCCCTTGACAGTTTGACGTGCAAACGAAGGGAGAGCAAAAAATAGAGGGAAACAACAAGACACACGAGGGAGAGATAGATGGATTTCTTACCTGTGTCGGGATCCACGGCGAAGCTGCTGTTGGCCTGAACTATCGCGTATCTGAGGAGCGAGTTGTTGCCGAGATCGGGATCGGTCGCGTTCACAGAACCTACCAGCGTACCGGAAGGAAGATTCTCGAGCAGTTCGAAGCCGTAGAAGTCCTTTCCGAATCGTGGATCGTTGTCGTTGTCGTCCAGAACCGTAACCAGCACGGAGGTGCTCGCGGTAGCCGCGGGAGATCCGTTGTCGGTCGCGAGAATCGTCAGTACGTGGCGATCAAGAACCTCGCGGTCCAAATTCTGCACCAGATAGATCCAACCGGTATTGGGATTGATGCGAAAGGCGGCCGAGCCAACGAGACGATAGCTCAGTCTCGCGTTGTTTCCCGTGTCCAGATCGACAGCTGTCACCTGAAGAATCTGATAGAAACGAGAGATTGCGAGTTTAATAAAGTTATACGATGTATAGACGTGAATCAATAATGACGCTAATCTGCAACGGTCGAGTTGTCCCGAGTTGCGATACATTTATGAGTAAAAGATCGGGCATCTCTTCGACTCTCTTAGTAAGTGCAATGGAATGCACTCGACAAAGTTCCAGACGAAGAGAACCACAACGAAAATCAAAACAAGAGCAATCTCATCATCGAAAGACATATCAAGAGAGAGAGAGAGAGAGAGAGAGGGGGGGGTGGAGGGAGCAAGAACGCGGGAAAAAGAGAGGGTGAAAGAGGCGGCGTCGAGACACCAAGACCAGTCGATCCGGTCGTTCCGTATTTAATTAAACGCACCCAAGGATCGCGAGAACCCTAAACACGTTCGGACCAGTCGATGTTTTCCAGCGCGGGAGGACGGTGAATTACGAAGGTCGATGGAGAAAAAGAAAAACGAGTGAAAGAAAAAGCGCATAAGTTTGGGGCGAGTGTGGAAGAAGAAGGTCGTGTCCCGCGCATGAACCCGCGGCTCACGAATGATGAATGGTGGTAGACGTTGAAGAGGGAATACGAAAGAAAAGAGAGAGAAAGAGACAAGAGCGCGCGCGCAGACGATATGAGAGGCGGAGGAGCAGACCGGGTTGTTTTCGCAGACGAGAGAAAGACGACCCAGGGGGAGGAATGCGAATTACCATTAGATGAGGAAACCTGACGTGGGAGCAGACAGTAATGTGTCTAACTGTACGTTATTAGTTCGGTGTGTGTGAAGGGTTACGTTCTCCGCAGCTCCAAGTTCACTCTTTTCTGCTTCATCCTCTTCCGCCCGACCGCGCGCTCTTTCTTACTCTTTCTCTCTCTCTCTCTCTCTCTCCGAAACTCTTCGTCCTCTTCTTACCGAGAACTCGCACTAGCGGCACTAAGATATTGTCCGGATACCACCGACAGCTCACAGATCTGTTTCGCCGATAGATACCACCGATATATACGTGTACACGAGAAGAAAGATAGGACAGAAGATCGAGTAGCGACAAGACAAGGAGGAAGAGGAAGGGAAAAGAAGCGAATGAAAAAGAAGAAAGAGAAAGAGAGAAAGAGAGAGAGAAGCGCGAGCTGTCATTACTGGTGGCTTCCTTAGACTCTTATTTTAAAAAATAACTGTCTTATTACACGTCGGTAGATATTATACGATAAAATATGTTTAATTTGCTGTGAAAAAAAAAATCCGGAATGTCTTCATTTCTTTAAAAATATCACCGACGCGTGCGCGCGACATTTACGCTCTAACCCCGCGTACGTTGTATTAAAAATGTGACGTCATTTGACAAACTTATCTCGCAGTTAAAATATCCCTCGCCGTTAATATCTCCATTTTTCGGGGATTATGTCCGTTTTATCTGTTTGGCCATTATTTTGCAAAAAGAACTTGAAAGGAAGTTCTCTCGACAAAATGAATAAAGCGAAAAATTTTCCAATTCACATCCCCGGGACTTGGAAAAATTGTTCGAAGTGTTGTCTAATATTCGTTTTATAAACCACCGGAGAATTCTAATCGCGTTGGAAGTTGCTTGTGAGATGATCGAGGTTGCAGCCGCGCTCCCGCAGCTCTATCGACTGTTACCTATCAATCCTAGGACGCTCCGAACGCTCTTGCTCTCGCAATCGGTATCGGCGGCAGCGCGCGCCACGTTTGGATATCAGATTATCAGGCATTGCCTATCCATCTCCCGGCCGGGAACGTCGAGCAACTTCGCCAAGTAACATCGCGGCTAATCTCGCGCGATGCGAACGTCCAGTTAATTCGTCCCTAGTCGACGCAAGAGGTTAATTCTCTCTTTGCTCACAAGGTGAACTTCGCCAGTCAACGTCTTCTTCTTCTTCTTCTTCTTACTCTCTCTTCGTCTTATGCGTTGCTCTTCTCATTCGCGAGAGAAGCTACCCGGAAGAGGGAGGATGTCTGGTAGCCAGCCGGCGTAGGATATGAGAGGGAGCAAAGGTTCACGAGCGCGTTCTTCCTGGTTGTCCCGGATAAAATTACGCATCCCAGAGACGGGACGGGAGCAAAAAGAAGCCGATCGGGGGAAAAAGGGAATCGTTGGGGCGATGAAGAGCAAAAGAAGAGCCGAAGAGAGAGGTTGTTAACTTCTACCCGTCTCATCCGTTCGAATCAGAATCTCTTCCTCTCCTGTTTTCTCTAACGCATTGCCGCGCTGTACGAAGTCTGTGTACTTCAATTCTCTTTCTCTCTCTCTCTCTCTCTCTCTTTTTCTTTCTCTTCGTCCCGCTTCCTTTTTCGAAGATGCTCCACCGCATCTTCTCGACAAACAAATGGCCGCGTGACGGGCGTGTAATGAAGATTTTTCTCACCTGAGAATCGAGCCTGGCGCCTTCGGGAACTTCCACGTGATACTCGTTCCTCTCGAACACTGGGGGGTTGTCATTCACATCCTGCACCTCAACGCTGAGGCTGAGGTTAGCCGAGAGCCCAGCTCCGTCCAGCGCCCTTATCAGAAGCCCGTGGCGCTGCTGGGTCTCGTAATCCAATCGCCTCGTCAAATAGACCTCGCCGCTGTGCCCGTCTATCCCGAACAGATCGTTGCTATTTTGACCGAGGATGTAGCGCATCAACGCCGGAGCCGGTGTTGTGTCCGGATCGGTGGCGTGCGCCACGTAAAGCGGCACGTGCAAGGGATGCGACTCCGGCACCGAGATGCGAACGCTGGTCGTGCGAAACGACGGCGTGTTGTCGTTCACGTCCTCGACGATCAATTCGATCTGCAACGGAAAGAAACCGATGTAGCGGCGCTTTATTGTCAGATAACAAACGCGAGAACGTGAGGGAACGACTCGCGGCAACACGTGTCTTTCTTCTCGGTCGCTGTCTCGTTGACGTAAAACAAACAGTGACGACGAGCCAATTCAGTCTCGCGATACCGATCCGCTAATGATTTCCACGCGCGTTGCTATGAATATTTCATATGATAATATCTTTCCGTGAACGCGGGAAAAGAAACGGTAGCAGGCTTTTCGCACGTTCGGGTTTATTATACGTACATTCAAGATAGATACATCGAACACACACACACACACACGGATAAACGGCTGCGATTACTGGTGTGTGACTTAATATCGAGATGATGATTATCTGGAGGATGTGCAATTTACCTGGCAATATCCAACGGAGCCGCCATTACGTGCCTCGACGCTGAGAACGTATTTGTCACGTGACTCCCGATCGAGCGGCTGTCGAATCCTCAGCATCCCCGTATTGGGATCCAGCGAGAGATCGGCTTCCTCTCTCGCAAGATAAAACCTGCTTGGCTGTTCGCCTGAAAACGTAGAATACATAATTTAAATAAAACGCACCTCCGGCTCCGGCACGCATCAGATGTGTTAATAAGATGGAAAATCAGCTTTTTGATCGAGCGCGTACCTCGATATAATTTATTCATAATAAGTCCCCGTCGTGTTCTGTTCTCGTTCAATGGAGACCTAATTAAAACAGTGGTACCCGGAGTGATTGCTATAAATTATGACGCGGTTATCAAAAGGCAGTTATCAAAAAAAGTAATTCCGAATTGCATTTGCATAGAGATTCGCATTATCGCGCAGCTTAGTTTACGTAATGGCACCTTGAATGTCTCTTTCTCTCTCTCTCTCGCCAGAAACGTGCGTTCACGCTGGGTTGATCGACGTGAGTTGCTATTAAATCACGATATCCACGTCGTGTTTGCGGCTAAAGCGGGAGATCGATAGCTAGTCACAGTCAGTTTCTCATCTGTCAGTCTTGCGCAAAGTTCTAATGAAGACGTTCGGAATTGATTTGCTTTTACAAATACAATACGCTTTGCTGTCTTTATCGACGCACAAGCCCGACGATCGTACGGGAAAAAATATTTCAGGGTGTGGCACCAAAAAGTTTCTGACAAGCAAGATACACAATTACGAGAGAACGCGTTGCGACCCGGAGAATGCGGCAACCCGACCTTGCCAACGATACAACGGTCAGTTATCTTCGCCGCTACCTCAGTCCGCCGAATAATAAACGAAGTTAAACGACGTCTTCCTGCTGTCTCACTCTCTCTCTCTCTCTTTCTCTCTGTGCAGCCTCGCAGCAAATTTATTCCCCGTTAAGAAGAGTTCAGCGCGGCCGGCGTTGGAAGTTTATCGTAAAAGCGTACTAGTCGAGGCGCGCCGCTAAGCAGATCCTCGAACGAGAGAGAGAGCTGTCGCGCGTTGCTGAGATCTCATTCGTCACGCCTGCGATCCGTGAGTGTTGCACACTCCGAAGGATCGTGTCCGATCGGCGGCACGATCTTACGGCGGATCTTCGTTTTGCCACGCACACACATGAGGGGGCGAGGTCTGTGGCGTCCATACGCGTCCCGTAACGATGATACGAGTTTCGTTCGCCGGTTAGCTTCGAACGAGCACGTGCGAAGCGCGCACACGGAAAGGAGAGAGAGAGAGAGAGAGAGAGAGAGAGAGAGCGCGCGTCGACGAATGAATGATGGCGATTTATCGATTCCACGACATCGACCCCGCTCGACCTTCTCGCACGAGTCGACCGGGACCGCCCAGTTTCGTTGCCTCGGAATCAATTAATAGCCAAATTGGCCGGTCATTATCTGCTGGCAGATGCAATTCCATGATGAACGATTCGAGGCCGTCGTGTTGTTGTTCCTTGCATAACGAGTGCCGTTGGACCCGTGTAACACGCCCACGGTCGGACACGCCGAGTATCAAGAAGTTTACGAGAAATGAAATTGAAATTGTCGAGGCGGTAATTGTTGCCACAACTATGAGAACGTAAAGTCGCGGGATCCCCAATGATCTCTCCCTCGGACCTAGCACGTCGAGCCGATCGACCGGTTGATGGATGATGTATAATTGAACATTGGACATTGAACAGCTTATTTCCGAAAGAAAACCTAAACCGTTAGCTTGTCAGTATTTGACTCAAAGCCGGATCGTTAACACCCATCATTCCGATTTAAAGGGGATCTTAATCAAATCTCGATGACAAAAAATACTTTTTGAGTTTACTTTTCGCAATCAAGCAATTAGCCGCTTTATTAATGATGCGTGAAAAATTCAGCTCGACGGCGATTCATTAAGACGATATGAAAGCCTTTCTGCTTTATCCGAGAGACGTCGTCGTGGAAACACGCCGCGAGGTCCCACGTACAATTACAGACAACCGTGACGCGCGCACACATGCGGGTAGAGCACGCGCAGCACGCGTACCGATAATTGCCGATCGATCGATCGATCGATCGATCGATCGCTCGCTCGCGCGTGGTCTGGAGGCCAAAACGGGAACGCAACTGCCGCTCGGGAGAGCCGGAACGCAATCCTTCCTAGATGCGTTTCGACAAATCCCGCGCGGATCTACCGCGTCGCGATCGTCTCCCATCGATCGCGATCAAGTTTTTCCCGCGGTCTGCGGCGGAAAAAAAAAAAACCAGGCGGACGGGGACATTGTCGTTTCTCGATCTGGGTTCTCGAGATAGGATGAATTCCATTTCCGCGCATTCTGTAATGTTCGCGTCGCGCCGTTGTCGTCATCGTTGCGCCGATCGTCGTCGTCGACGACGACGACGACGACGACGACGACGACGCCTGTATGTAGACGGTGACATCGAATGACATCGACCGTTCAACCAGTGCCTTAAAGACGGTGCTCGATCGCGTACGTGAACGGCATAATTTATGGACCGCTATTTATACTCGATTCCAACTCTCGTTCGTTCTTTTCCTCCGTCTTTTCCCGCGTCTCTGCACGCGACCGAGTGTGCGAAAGGCGCGTCTCCACAGACACGCGATGCGCCTCGATGTGTGCGCATTTCTTTTCGGTTAAAAATTAAAAACACAAAAAAAAAAAAAGCGAAACAAAATTGTCTTGAGATCTCTGATGCGCAGAAAGTTTTTAATTCTCTCTTTAACTCCTTTAATTCTCAACGCTAAATAACTTTGTGAGCCATTTTCGCGCGACATTGACACAATCCTCATCATCCTCAGTTTGTTTTGTAATATCCGAAAGGTTGTCTCCCGGACGAGACACCGTGTGTGTACGCGCGTGTGTATCAAGAATACAAACACACAAAATCGGATCGGCTTATTCGTATACAAAATGTATGTGCGAAGGATGAAACACTGCGGTTGCGTGAACGCGCGCGTATACGCGAGGCGCGCGTGTAATTACGCGTATGCGTTGGTACCCCGCGAGAGAGACTGGTCTGGAAGACGTACACGTTTTATATCCCCGGCGATACCTCTTACCCATCAGCATTCGGTACCCGTGTTATTAAACGTCCGCGTGATCTTTTTCCATGGACTCTCTCTCTCTCTCTCTCTTTCTCTCTCGTCGCGAGAGGAGGGTCCGCCGAGATTCTCCGTATACTACTCCCCGTATATAATTACGATTTACTCCGCATCTCGATACGCGCCGAGATACCGCTCGAGTATCTTGCCCGTGCAAAAGGATTTCGACGCGCGACTCCGGAAGGGTATGACATACCGGACAAATCTGTGTCTCTTCCTCCTCGGTTGTGTAAGCTGCCGTGGCGAGAGAGAGAGAGAGAGAGAGAGAGAGAGAGAGAAAGAGAGCGTTAGCCGCTAAGATATATGTATATACGACGCACATTTGGTAATAAATCTCACGGGATAATAAAATTAAAGCGCGCAAATTGCGTGTTCTTTTTAGCGAGAACACCGTATTTGTTTTTGTTTTGTGTAAGTGCGTGCGCGCGCGCGATAATTTCAATTTTCTTTCTTGTATCAGAGCTCGCAAAATCCCACCGCGATAATTCGAGTAATGTAGTTTGCTGCTATACTAAGGTTTTCATTTGTTGTCCAACTCGTTGCGAGAATATATTTTGTGAGCGCGCAATTATATATACATTTATTACGCGAACACAAAACTGAGTCAGTCAAAATTTAAACAAACGACGATACAAATCGAATTGATCGCACTTCGTTTCTCTGTCTCGTTTTTTGTCGCGCGCGAAGATATGATTTCTTAGTTAGATCAAGCCCCATGTGCAAGGTGCATGTGTAGCTCAGTCACGTTTTTCTGTTCGCGAGGGCTCTTCGTCACCCCGGTTACACCACGCGTCCCTCCGGGGTGCTCACGTGGGTGTAACGAAGACAAATCGCTCGCGTATTTGATTAATTCGCGAAGATCGCCGGTCCGGCGCAGGACCTACTCCACCTCCTCCTCCTCCCCCCTCGCGTCCTCCGTCCTCCGGCATCGTGAATCGAATCGAGAGCGAGTTTTTGCCGGCGATGCCGAGGCAAAGAAGAAACCCGTAACGTACTCATTACTGATTCTCGCCCCTTATGCGTTCTCGGCACGAATGCCACGGGTTCGAGACGTTCCATTCGATTTCTACGAGAAATCACGCAGACAGATTAGAAACAAGAAAGTTTGGAACATATCGAAATAAAAAAAAATTCAAAAAAACAAAACATTGATATTAGTTCATATAGTGTTGCCGTTAACAAATCATTTCAATATATTAATCTATTAAAAAAGCTCGTATCTCATCGAGAGCATAGTTTAAAAAAATAAATAAATACAAAACGTCCGTGTTTTTTTTACAATAATCGTAATAATTGTCACTTTTATTTTTATCTTATTTTTATCATTGTCAATTTATTTTATTTTTATTTATATATTTTACAACATAATTTGTATTTTGTTTTAGATTTTCATAAAAACACAAGATTTTTTCTATTTCTTCCGGTATCGATATCACATCGGTTCTTCTTCCTTTATTTCCACATCTCATTCTGTCTCTCACACTCTGCTATCTTTTTCCTCTCTCAATCCCACATTGTGAAATTCATTTCCTCTTTTACTCTTTCCTCATTCCCTGCGTTTTTCATTTCTTTCTCATTTTGTCTCTTGGTTCATTTTCGTCCCGACTGTTCTCACGTGGACGACGACGACGACGACAACGATGATGATGACGAAGACTAAGGATGCTCGTGCAATCGCGGTAGCAGGATGCTATTTATTTCTCTTCGATAATGCTCCTCGGGCTACTCGGTCTGCTACTAAGATACGTCTATAAGCATCACGCGTGTGTATGTATATATGTGTGTGTGTGTTTGTGTATGCGTGCTGTGTGGGCAGGCGACTGTACTAGCTATGAGAAATCGAAGCGATGCTTCTAATTGGTGCCGGGAGGATAAATTGAAATGAAGTCGTCGTGTCGCGCGAAGGAAAATTCTCCAACACTCGGCAAACTCGCTCGGAGAAACATTTACGCGCACAATGTTAATAGAAAATCATGATCGCGCTGCTGGCGTGAATTTTATCGCG